TGTCTTGAACTGTCAACAGTGGCATTCACTTTATCATCATTGAAGTCTAAGAAAACCAGCAATATAAGAAGTTGGAACCAGAGGTTTTTTTGTTGTTGTTTTTTTTTTTACAATTTAGCTTAACAAATTACTTAAAAGGTGCTCTGTGGAGTCTTCTCGTAAACAAAGTTATGTTTACTTCCTTGAGGTCTAACAAATCTGTTGAGTGCATTTCCTTTCTCATTAAACACTTGCACAGCCAATTTCTGAAATATTTTTAAATCTGTATTGTTTACATCCATTCTGCACCCCAACGTGCATGATACAAACAAAATGCTGACCCAATTGTAAAAACATTCCTAAAGGTCAAAAACTACACGTGGTACTTTTACGCTACTCATCCATTTCCAAAATGCGGATTATGATATTGCAGATTAATTTTGACCAATGTTACCTTTCATCATTGCAATAACCACAACTACAAGAAAAACAATGTGATGATAAAGAAGATTACAACAACAACAACAACAATAATATATTCAAAAGTGGACAGTAAAGCACAAAGAGAAAAGTTAAGGGGAAAGGAATGGATGAAAAATTGGAAATGAAAGAACAATATTGTTTAAATAATGTTTTAAATAAAAAATAGAAAAAACAAGGGACACCAAAAGAGCAATGGGGATTTAGGACTATTTATTAACAGACATCCCCGTCTCTCCACGGGTAAGTTCCATCTTCACCCTACTTACATATGGCTACCTTCCAAATCCACAGAGACAAAGAGAGCAAAAGACAAAAAGAGCAAACTAAAGAGACTTCTTGATGACATGAAAGCATGGAAATTCTGGATGGGGGCAGAGCTTTTACCTCACCAGACATAATCCAGCGCCATTAGCAGTTAAACTGACTAAATACATCATACAACATCTGACATTCAACATCCTGAAAAGTCTAAACTCCTGTCTATGAAGACTGGAGGGGATTGCAGAGATCTTGAAGAGGAGACGGACAGTATATTTTGTGTGTGTGTGTGTGTGTGTGTGTGTGTGTGTGTGTGTGTGTGTGTGTGTGTGTGTGTGTGTGTGTGTGCGTGCGTGCGTGCGTGTGTGTTGGTCAAGAGTGGTTCTATTTATCTCTAATTACAGTCAAATACGTGAACAAAGTTTCCAGAGGAGATTCCAGTGCAGCTGGCAGCTATTCAATTCATTCGCTCCCATGTGTGTGTCGCTTCGAGTGTTTTTTAGCTATGCCCTGCATGCGTTCAAGTTAAAAGGTCTATCCTATAATAACTGACATATATCATTATCACTTCCTTTGTCCTTCCTCTCCCTCTAATCTGGCTAATTAAATCTGCTAATGTCAATATACAATTTAATCTGCGATTACGTTTGATTGGACCGGTAGAGCCTCACTGTCGTTCCCCCTGCCAGTAAAAACCAGACTACTTACAAGCTAGACAGACAGCCAATCAGAGAGGCCTTCCTCACATGACGATGGCCAAGAAACGCCATTTACCCTGACAGTTCGTCTTTTCCAGTGTTTTACGTTGTTCCACAGACAAACACATCCCAAAACGCCCGAGTGAGAGAGCTGGAAAACGTGGTGAAAGCACAGGAGGGAAGCTCTGATTGTACATGCAGAGTGGTAATTACACCTAAATTGAGGGCACATGGTAATCTATGTTAGGTCATCTCCAATTCCACTTACATTTCCACATTTTGCACTAATTAAAAAGTGTAAATAATCAGTGTGGGTATGTGTGGGGGAGAGTGTGTGTGTAGGCAGATACAAGATGAGCCAGTGGAAGAATCTTGCCATCACACTGAAGGAAAATTAAGTGCACACTCTTTGATTTTTACAAGACAGGAGAGCAGATAAAGTTTTTTTTTTTTTAAGAAAGCGGAAAAGAGCAGAAAAGTGCTTTCCCAGCAAAAATGTTTGCAGATTGCGATGTGCTATTAATTGAAAGGAGCATCGGAGCAAAGTTACCGACACAGAAAGATGACTGACAAGAGGTTTTTGCAGCTTATAGTTCGTCCACCAGTTGGTCTATGAAACTGACAGTACTCAGAGTTTAACTTTCAGGGCTGCCTCTCCCCCCTACGGCAAATTGAAGTGAGATGAGGAAAAGGGGAATTTGCTATTCTCAGAGCCTTTGCCCTTCGAGGTGGTGGAAGAGAACAGAATATGAATGGGGGGAGAGAATAAAACACTTCAGAAGATGAAAAGAAGCCTTGAAAGGCAACTGGTGCAATATAACCAACTCTGGCATAAATACTGGATGAACAGCAATAAAGAATGCAGGTTAGATGTCAAAAGGAGCGGAGACACCAGAGTCACCTGCTTTTCACAAAACACGGTCTTAGCCCAGGGTTATCTGTAGCCCTGGGCTGATTTGTCCCTGGGCTAACAAGCAATGGAAGAATAAGCGTCAGTTTGTCAACTGTAAACAACATTTGGAGACACTAGTCACTGCTACAGACATCCTCAGCACTGCATTAGAAACTTTCAACTGTCATTTATTAAAAGAATAACAGGTGTGCCCTTCAGTATGATAATCATGACAAGAATATATTTTAAACATCCTTTAACTCTGTCTTTTGCAATTAAAGGAACAGTGAGAAATTTCACAAGTGCACATTGCATTTTTGCATTATGGCAAAACATATTTCCAAAGTCTCTAAAACCTCCCTAAACATGGCATCAGTAAACTAACATCCGAGATTTAGAGTTTTGTGGTTTAAATGTGTAGGATGCTTATAAACAAAAAAAACAGAGCACCATTAGCAGAATTACTACTAATATTGTTAGTGCTAGTGCTGATTAAATAAGTTCTTAAGGCCACAAAAGCTTTCCCTAATCCTATTTAACCATCTACAGAGCTAGACATGGTCTTAACGGAGAGAAAAGACCCTGCAGCATGGAACTGAAACCACAAACACGACAATAAATAGGGAGAGAAAGAAAAAAAATAAATTACAGTATGTGGGTGTGCACATGACAAAGAAAAAGGCAGACGGCGAGTGAAAGACCACACAGAAACATCCTGTAGCAATTCAATTATTCAATTTTGGAGGAGGAGGAGAAAGAGAGGGCAGATCAGAGTGAGTGAACGGCTCATCCTCATCTGTGATTGATTAGGAGAGACGGAGACAGGATCCTTGTCCCACAAAGGCCAGCAGAGAGGAGAGGAGAGAAAACGAGAGGAGAGGCTTTCACTATGGTGTCCCATGACTGCGATTTATAGCGCACTAAAAACCAAAGAGCCCATCTCAATGCCGTTTCCTGGATCAATTCATGTAAAGAACAAAGGTTCAGCCCACACGATGGTCCCTGAAGTGTTCAACCTTTCAATTTTTTGCATAAACCTTTCAGAAAAGCCTTTTTTCCCACACTGCTTCAAACCCTTTTAGTTGGTCTATAAACAGCTGACCCTGGGTGAAATAAGATCCTCAAAGTACAAATGGTTGAGTCACCTTTTAAATTCTTCATAAAGCCGAGAGCATGCATAATTGAACATACAAAAGACAAAACATGAAAAAATATCTATAAGCGTTCATGCATACAACAACATAGTCACCAAAATTCATTCTGAGACTGTAACTACAACCATTTTCCCACAAAGCAACAAAATCTGTTTCTTTTTCCTGAGAAGATGGAGGAGAGAACCTTAGGTATACTTTAAAGCTGTCAGAGAGAATAAATGGCCTCTGTGGAAATATGTAAGTGTTTCTGGGTCGTCTTAATTCCTGGCAAACTTAATGACAATTTTAGGCCAGGCAACCAGAGCACCTAGACATAACAATTCCCATATAAGCTCAGCCCATTTCTCTCCACCCTACTGACAGGAAGCTAAAATAACTGCAACGATCTCACGTCTGAAAAATGAGCATCTGAAATTGATACTGCGGCACTGAAATGTTCATCAACAGCAATATTAATCTCTCACCTTGTGGTAATCGCTAATTTCATATACTATTAAGTTGATGAATGGGGTTTTAACAAACTGAGCTATTGTTAACAACTTAAAGCGGACTAATTCATCAAGGTCATCATTACTCATGCGCGGCAAAGAAACATTAGCAGGGAAAAGTGAAACAGCATTAGTGAGAAAAAAGAAGATCTTAATAAAGGGGGTGAGAAACAGACATGCCAAATGACTATGTATGGTCTCTTTCTGTATCAGAATCCAATACTAAATGACAGACACAGTAAAAGAGGATATGCTCATTATGCGGTTGTGATTTGGTGGAGAAGTGCACAACTCAGCATTAGTATCAACAAGCTGTGGCCTACAAAAAGACAGCAGCTGGCAGGCTGTTGTCAGACATTGGAAAACAGTGACATCTAGTGGTGGTTGAAAGTAGTCTGTCCCTTTCTTCTGTACCTGGGTCTTCTATTAAAAGAAATATCACGGAGGGGAAAGTGATAAAGGCAGTTGATGTTAGGGCCAAGTATAAAAACAAAACCAGCTGTGATAATAAGATTAGTCATTAACTGATTAAGGCATTAATCATCAAACATATGTACGCCTCCACACATTTGCATTCACATAAACGTGTGGTGTGGTGTTAATATGAACCACATGTCTTTAAGCATTAATGAGTTACAGTAGTTTCAAGAAATTATCTCCCTCTCATTAAATTAATTATCATTTATTCACTAAGAACCTCTGAGCAGAACTTCATACAGGCAACCTGGATCAAGAATTGTGTCTTGATATTTTAAGAACAGAAGAACAGACTGACCAGTTCTCTAAGATTGCTGATTCAGAAATGAATAAATCTGTATATTAATGTAGAAGTTGCCTGGCAAATCTACAAGCTGGTGGTGCACTTATTGGAAGGAGGTGTATCGGGTTTTTGGCTGTACACGTGTGTGAATTGTTATGGAGAGCCTATATGTGATGAATGCACACTTGTGTGTCTTTGCGTTGCCGTGGACACACTTGGTCTCCAGTAAGAGCAGAAACCCTGAAGCAAGCAGGGAGACGAGGAAGAGACCAGAAGTGTGGAACTGACCAGCTTGTTCTCTTGCAAGTAGAGTCTCTGCAGTTTACGGCATCCTCTAGCCAAGGCCACCATGCCCTCGTCTGTGATACTGTAGCACTGACCCAAGTGGATGTCCTTTAGCTCACTGCAGTGCTCTCCCATCTAAAAGGCAAAAAGAAATTATTCAGGATACATAAGATTAAATACTGGACACCCTCACCTGTCACCTGAATCTTTTTATTTGATGGGGACAGGTGTATCACAGACAAAAAAAAAAAAAAGAAAAGAAAAGAGGCGTCTCTTGTGTCTCCATTCTGGCTCTAAATGCATACCTTTTTTAGTGCTTCATCTGTTAGTTTGTCCTGGTTGCCCACATGCACCTTCACCAGCAGAGGGCAGTGTGTAGCCAAGGCCGACAGGGACATGTCACCAAGCTGCTTACAGCGGTATGCGGTGTACTTCTGCAGGCCTGGACAGTGTGAGGCCAGGGATGCCACACCATGGTCATAGACCCCTCGGCAATCAGAGATGTTAATCTCTGTCACATTTTGCCTGCGAGAAGCTATTTTCACCAGGAGATCATCGTTTACCTGGGGAACACAAGGAGAGATGAAAGTCAGCAGAAACAACTTTCTGTTAAAAAGGTTGCGATCAGAAGATCAGATTTGATCCCAGAGACACCAAGGCGCCTCCTGGTTACTCAATCCAAGCCAGGGAGTTAACTAAATATCTAAATTATAAAATGTGAAAAACTGAAAGGACAAACTTCGTACAACTCCACTGTAAAAAAAAAAAAAAAACAAAGGTTAGAGAGACTCTGACAAGAAATACACATCCCTATGCGCTTACTTGTTGTAGGCCACTGAGGTCGATTTGCTTCCAGAACTGGAAGTCCAAGCAGAGGTCCCTCCAGTACTTACAAACCAGAGAGGCACACAGACAGCGTTCCTTCACGGTCAAGTGGGAGAGCACCTGAAAGGAGGATTAAGAAAGTAAAAGCCATTCAACATGTAGTACACAGCATGTGTGCTATCAATGGCCATTTCTGCCTTTGTATCATTTATTGTACCAAACCAACAAAAATACTTCAGTAGATATAAACAAAAGGCCAATTTAAATCTACAATGAGCTCTGACCTTTAGAAGGATGGAGGAAGGCAGGTGGTTGATACTTAAGTTATCAGCAGCATCAGAACTTCTCGCCTGGCAGTCGTCATAATGATGCAGGCAGCAGGGGGACGAGTCTGAACTGTGGGGCAAATCAGCATGAAGACCCAACCCGCAGCAGCCATCAGCAGGTGAGGAGGTAGAGGAGGAGGCAGAGGAAGAAGAAGCGGAGGAGGAAGGAAGCGGACAGAGGGGAAGGTGGCAGTGGCCAGTTTCGGAATTCGAGGCGGCCTCTCCCCCACCTCCTCCCACTCCTCCGTTCTCCAGCCCTCCGTCAGGGGCAGCGAAGGCGCAGCGTGGCTGCTTGCAGGGGGTGCACCTCTGCACCTCTGAGCACTTCCTCTTACACACCTGCAACCAGAGACAAACACAGATCAGCCAATTGGAACCAGATTTTCTTCAGGCAAGTCAAGGCAGATTTGACTGTAAAGTCTTTTATTACAACTGCAGTGTGGAAGAACATTACACTGTCCACATATGGAGCATAAAGTCAAAATAGCACGCTTGACCTTGGATCCTCTATGAGAACAAACTAAAACAAGGAATGAAAATAGCTTTATATGTGTGTGACTTCTGCAATTCTGTTATTACACATTGAGAACACAGAAAACCCGCTGTGCAATGTCTTTCAAACACTTGGACTTTGTTGCATTAAGCTTTCAGAGAACTTTTATAGACAGTACATGCTTTTCCTTATTTTTTTTGGCATTTGTAAATAGATGCTCTCTCCCATTCAATTTACAGGGTAAATCTGTTCTACATTCTGTGGTAATAGTAAATGTGATGGTTATTCTGCCTGAATTTGCATTTGGGAATTAGTTATTCCTTGAAGATTCCCTTAAATAATTTTCTGTTAATTTCAAGTTGAGCAGGCTTTCAGCTGATTCAAAATTGTCAAAATAAATTAATGAATAGTTGGATTGCCCTCATTCAGTTAAGGCCTTTATCAACAAACACACTTTGGTCAACTGATACTGTTTAATGTCTTTTAGGGGTAATGAACTATTGGACATTAGTCATTGCCAGAAATGGCTGTCAGTGGTGTCAAGCGTCATTATTTTTCACAAATATTCTTTGGTCTTTAATAAGATTTTAAGAGATCCCTCAGCATTGGTCTGGGGAGGGACAGATAGTTCTGGTAAACAGAACTAATCAGTCTAAACACTACAGCTACATATTAGAAACCCCCCCAGCTCCTTACCATCTCAGTGTAGTCGCTGGTGCAGCTAGGCACAGGCAAAGGTATGGGTACGGTCACAGACACCCCAGCGGTTCGGAAAAGTGCCGGTGGAGGAATAAGTTTGGCAGGAACGGCTGATAAAAGGCTGTTCCCTTGGCCCTCCCAGATAGCCAGCTCCCGGGGTGACAACAACAACCTGGAGCAATCCTCAGGAGATGCGAGTGTTGCGTATCGCTCAGCTAGCTTCGAGGCAGCTGCTGCTCCGATGCCAACTCCACCCACACCAGGAACACTGATTCCGGTGATGCTGTTGTGACGACACACGCTACCGTTGACACCGGTCTCCAAATGGTCGCTGTCGTCGTCAATACCGCTGCTGTTGCCGTGGACAATGAAGCACAGCATGCAAGGCAGCTGCAAGAAACAGTTCCTCTTCTTCTTCTTCCTGTGATGCAACTTGCGTGTCTTCTTCTTCAGGCGGTAACCATTTTTCGAGAGAAGATGGCCCATATAGATGATTCAAGAAAACTCTAGAACAACAGGAGTCAATTCATTAGTAAGTATATTATTCAGCAGCATTTTAAGGACCTTGCAGGACTGGGTATTATTGTCAGTTTGGCTTTTGTCAATATCTTACTTACATGACAGTGTCTAATGTTGCCAAATAAGGACTTTGCTGAAATTAAATAGTATAAAATTGCCAATGTTATGACTTAAGTGAGTAAATATCTATGAAAAGAATACTTAAACAAGGCCTGCTAAAGCATGCGATTGACAGTGCTCAATCCTCAAAAACATTTAGGTCGGTAAATAAAAAGAACTGAGGCTCAATAACCAACTCCTTAGTGACATGGTGGTTAATATGGTGGTGAAAAAAAAAAAAAAATGGTAGTCTCACATAATGTACAAAATAAACATTATCACAATTATTTTCATCAGCTATTTTTATTTACTGTGGCAGAAGCAAATATTTTAAAGTTAATATCACCGGCTTATAAGTAGAACCCTGCATCAACAAGTAAGGGAAACTGCCAACAATATTCTCTGAGATAAACTATATTTATATATATAATGTGTATGTAAATACACAATAACAATCATTATATATAACTCCCCCTTGCTAGCAATTGCCTTCTTTGTGTTTCCCTGTAGACAGTTTAGTAACCAGAAGAAGGATTTTCACATTTAAAAGATTGTAACTGTAACAAATGAGGGTACCCACTTCATTTGCCTGACTCAGAGTGCTGTCAAGGACAATTAATAAATTAATATACTAAAACAGCTGGGAACATATATGATGCTTAAAATAGACCGTTTGTAGCCAACAAAGTCATTACACTGATCTAGGTAGTACACATTACTATAGTGAGCAGCTTGGTGTCACAACTAAATATTGATCGTATTTGTAATAAGATTACATGATGAGCGTAAAGCCTGGACCTGCAGTAATTACAGCACACAACAAAGGAGCAGCAAGTTTTATAGCCGTGCTTCTTTGGAAACCATTTGACTTGCATTATTTGTGTTGTGATCACATTCCTTGTCAAATGTCAACCCCCTAATTCAGTTGCACAAAATAACAGATTTGTTATTGTCATACGGCAGTCTAGTCGTCTGGTTGCTGCCGTAGGAGAAGATGTAAACAGTGAACAGGTGGCCATTTGTTTAGCACACACACACACACACACACACTAAAGCAGAGCAGTCTTAACGTGGCGGTTGTGTTTTGCCTGAAGTCGCGACAGGTTTAAATGTCTAACATTAGCTCCAGTTTAACCACATATTTACAGCCTCACTTAGATAAAAAGACACGGCTCCAGTGCTAACCCAGTGCAGCTCTCTGACAGGCTAGCTTGCTCCATCACTTGATGCTAAGTTAGCTGTACACCCAACATGAAGCATCTCTCACCACTTCACACGGTGCTCCCACACTCCGGACGGCGCTCGCATAATACTGCTATGATGCGCGGACAAGACGAGCGCTGACAAGTCCCAACAGGAGAGACACGGACGTACGAAAAACCTGCCACTGAGCTAGCGTAGTGTGGCTCCAAACAGTGGCAGCTCAGGCTCTGCTGCTGCTCCTGAGGACAACACTTCCGCACCAAGAGGGCAGCGGGAAGGAAGCCGACGAGGGCGATTCGTAATTCGTCATGGAGGCTGGATGAAACTGCCGGCTGCGGGGCGAGCGTGAAGCCCCAGTTTGTGCATGTTCGTAATTTTTTACATTTGAGACTGTTGCTTTGATGATCGAATCTTCTATTTGGTTCAAAGTTAAATACAGTACAAGCCGGAATAAACCTAGGCTGGTTTCAATGGTCTGTAGGCTACTTGGCTTTCTCTTTCCGACTGCTCAAAGTGCTTTTATACTACATCAGCTTCACCCCATTCATGCATTGATGGCACAGGCATCAGGAGCAATAATGGGTCCAGCTGAACCCAACCAGCTGATGCACGCCTGCTGCTTGAAACATTATTCAGCAGGCCTACTGAAACAGATTCCAGCGAATAAGTATTGCACTTTCATTGTTTGGGAGCTCACAAGAGACCGATGAAAAATGTCTAAAATTGATGCGTAGGCCTATATAGTTTATTTGTTTATTAACTGGGCTATTATTACATGACATTTTATGTCACATCTTTCTCTCTCTTTCTCTCTCTCTCACACACACACACACACACACACACACAGAATATGGGCGTGAATTTCCAGCTCCCAGTTCCTCCACCCTGAACACAAACTCCCAGAATAGCAGTAGGCTACGACTTCTGGAAGCCTCAGGAAAAAAAATGGCTGAAGTAGGTTCACCAATAACTCGACAAGTAACTAAAGAACATCGGGAAATTGGGACCACCTCTGTCGATATTCGTCTTGAAGACGTCGAAGATTGTTTAATTTACGACCGGCAGGGAGTCGCTACTCCGTTCAAGAAATTATATCAAGACAGGAAATCGATCATAATTTTCGTGCGGGTAGGGGAAAAACTTTGTTTGGCTTAAACTTCCTGATGAGATGCTTAAATTAAGTGCACTGAGCCTCTAGACAGATTATTTTGAAGGCATCAAAGTAGGCAACAGGTGAGCTTCAACCTTGCTGGACAGATGCCCCAACAACCTCCCATGCTATGATGGAAATGGAGAGATCATGTCCATAGGTGAAGACAGAGGGGCTAAACACTATTTATAGGTGCAAGATGAGTTTTGAAAAGTAACATAATATCTCATAATACTAATTGCCAATTAACGTGTTATATGCTGTGTGTCCCTGCAGAATTTCTTGTGCTACATCTGTAAAGAATATGTGGATGATTTGAGCAAAGTACCTAGAGACACACTGCAGGTGAGTCCTGATACACGACTATGAATTCACTGGAGGACACCAAGTGGCATTGATGCAAATTTGTAGTGGTGGAGTGTAAATGAATACACTTTCTCAAGTACTGTTGGCCTGCTGAAGAACAAATTCAAGATACTTTTTACTTTACTCAAGTATTTTTATGCAACATTATTCACAGGTTTATTTATTATGTTTTAGATTACAATTGTTCATATCTTTCCTGTCCATTGAAAACCATGTATCTCCAAACATGGTGATTTTGGATTTGAATTGTTCTGATAAACTGAAGGATTAAGTGTCCCTTCATGGGCTGAGGAATGCAGGAAGGTGGAAAATGTTTTTCTGAGCTCAATTGAGCAATTGACATTCTAGAGATATGTGGTTCTTGCAAGACAGCGACGTACAAAACATACAATGATGTTGTAGAATAGGATGCATTGCTGTAGATTAAACTACCCAACAGAATATAAAGTAGTTTAAATTAGCTCATCCTTACACATCTACAGCAGTAAAATGCAACACATTAATGCGGCAGGAATATAAATCAAAAAATATCATGCATAATACAACTTTGGCCATTTTACGGCATAAATGAGTTCCTTTCCCTTTATACGGGGAAATGTACATTTACTAAGTACATTTTTCTGATAATACAAACATGCTTTTACTTAGCTATGGTTTTGAACACAGGACTTTTACTTATAGTGGAGGATTTTCACAGTGTGCTATTAGTTATCTTGCATGTTACTTAAATGTGATGTGTTGTTGTTGCAGGGTGCTAACATTAGACTGGTTGTGATTGGTCAGTCTGCTCATCATCATATAGAGGTAATTCATGTTGTGCATATAATTTCAGTCAGCCACAGCTGTTCCTATGATGCTGATTTAGTTTTCAATCTGGTCTAGCCATTCTGCTCACTAACGGGGTATCCTCATGAAATATACGTTGACCCGGAGAGGTGCATTTATCAAAAGCTTGGGATGAAGAGAGAGGAGACATTTACAGACTCAGGTAAGACAATAACAGTATGAGGGCATACAGTGAGCATATTCTGAGACAGTAATTAATGAAGAATTGCATCTGAATGTGTGTGCTTATGTACTTAGCCCACCGTAGTCCCCACGTGAAGTCTGGTATCTTTATGGGACAAGTGAAGAGTATATGGAGAGCCATGACTAGCCCTGCATTTGACTTCCAGGGTGACCTACATCAGCAAGGTGGAGCCATCATTGCAGGGCCAGGTAAGCTTTCCTATCTCTCTTACCTTGTATATACATTCTCTCACTGCTTCCGTTGTGTTATATATTTATCACTCTTTCTTCTCTCTGCAGGCTCTCGTGTTCACTTTTCCCACTTTGACATGAACCGCCTGGACCACATGCCCATTAACTGGCTTCTGCAGCTCGCTGGAGCTCAAGAGACTCTGGACTTCAGCAACAAGCCAAAGGTCATCCATGTGTAGCCAGCGTCTAACATGAAAGTGCACTTCGCTCTACATTGTTATCACGCATGCAGGGATGCCCACATGATGCTTGTTTAGTTACATCACCATTGTGCACTGACAAATACAGTGTGTGTGTTGACTGAGTGGTAACTTTTTTTGTGAAAATACTGTCTGCAGTCTGAAGGCATTGAGTGGTGTGTGGTAGAGTGTGTAAGAGAGGTATGAATGCATTACTGTTTTTTGCCAAGTTAAATTTTCTACCTTTTCTATGAGTTATTCCATTATTTGTTATGTTGTTTAATCTGTTCCCATGCTTAGTTTAATGGTTGTTTGGTTAATATTTATAAATAGGCTACTCAATAACAACTGATGTTAGTAGTTGGTCTTATCAGAGTATTCTATTTATACTCACTTTTCTCAGCATGTTAATTATACTGAAAATAAAGTTTAATTACTATTTCTTGGCTGCATCTGTCTTGTGTCATGCAACCCACATACACTCTGCAATGCATAGTCATAATCAATTGGCAGCACCTATGTGACCACATTCCCAACAACATGGTATCTATACTGTACAGCTGCTGCAACTGAACAGTGAGGGGTGGGCGCTGGACATCTAATCCTGATACGTCATATGCAGGGGATACAGACAGCAGAAACCTGCCCCTGTTTATAGACGTCACTAACACTAAGGAGAGGCTGGAGCAGGCAGCGGTGTCTCGCTTGACACATACACAGTACACGTAACATAGGCCAGATACCGATCAGCAGCAGCGCAAGAGCAAGACATGCCACAATAACACAGTAACAAAGCGGAGAAAGGCCGCCGGAGTGCGAAGTAGACGAGCTCGGTTGCAGCTGCTCAGGAATGTCCACCGTGCAGCCCTGAGGAGAAAATGAAGCGCAAGAGCGAGAGGAGACGAGCCGAGTCGAGGAAAAAGCGCTGTGCAGCTCACAGCAGCTCAGAGGCGGCGCCAAACTCTGATATTTACATTGAGATAACAGGTAAGGGGGGTTTGCAGAGTCAACCCTGTCAACTTCAAGCCTAGTTTGCAAATATGTGCAGACGCACGCAGCAGACCAAGCATGCACAGTTCTGCGTTTTAAATGACCAGGGCGACCAGACTTCGATTTTCCAGCTTTTGACCTATTACGGCGACACCGTCTGTCCCTTTATCGTTAATGCATTGGGTTTGCATCGACCTATCTCCGCAGTCTGTGCACAAAATACGCAATATTATCAGTTCAGTTTTGCTGTGGTAGGCTATTTATTTTAGAGGATGCAAGAAATTAACCCCAGAATTTCTGCATGTTTTATGAATTGTGAGTTATATATCTGCATATAGAGATAGGGCGGTGTATTAATGATATAATATCGTAATCAGCCAACTGTCAGCATTGTCCACCGTTAATTTTCAGATCTTTTATTATGTTTTCCTTGTCCCTGTACATCCTGGCGCAGCTCAAAGAGAGAGGGAGGTTCGTCAAAGTGGAAATCACGAGTCTGACTGGCTGAGGGATGGTCCTAGCAACCGCTTGGGCAATGTTCCCGGGGCCTATCATGTGTCTTATGTAGAGAACTTTAAACTAAAAGCGGCGGGGCAGAGCCTGACTGACAGGCACTTCCTCCAATTATGTGGCGCCCTGCAGCCAATAGCGTCTCACGGAACAGCGTAGGGGAGGAGTCGGGCCGAGATGAAATTTAGCAGAGTGCGCACTTGCACATTGATACCCTGCTTCCTTCTTCGACTGGTAACTTTTTTGTTTTGTCCAGGAGAGTTAAATCAAGCTTTTTTTAACGTTGGAGTTTTTCACGTAGTCGCTTTTAATTTACTTTTTTTTTTTTAATTCTGCGCACAGAATCAGCGTACGTTTTACTCAGTATGCGCAAGTCCTCGTGAAGAAAGTCAACCTCGTACGTTTCTCTGCAAAACGTCATGTTCAGATTTGGAGACAAGATGACCGCAGACGATGTTTCGTCAAGATGTATTGAGTTTGTCAAGGGTAAGTTGCCAGGAAGTGCATAAAAATAAGTAGTTGGAGAGAAAGAGGAGCTGGTTTGTAGGGAACTGAGAGACAAAATAAATGTATGCATGACAAAAGCAAGTAACTGCTTCATTATTTTGTCGCCCTCACCCAACCCCCTCCCCTCCAGACCAACTATATTTCGCCATACTTAAGCAAAAGATCAAGAGCACAGCCGAACGACACTGTTTCTGCATAGACGAAGAGCTGGCATATGAGAAGTAAGTCACCAATCTCAGCAAGCATGCATTTTAGTTTGCTGGTTATTGTATTGTTTATGTGCTTTGTCCCATGCCAATGAACTGCAATAAAAGACACTTAAATGGGCCTAACTTTGCGTAACGTTGTACCACGTTATTATTGCAGTCATCTAAAAGATCAGTAATTTAGTGCTGGTGGGAGCAGGCTAGCACAAAACTAATTCAAAATACAGTGAATTTATCTTTGATTGCAAAAGTCGACATATTCAGATTTGATCTAAAATATATATTCGATGTAAGAGTATGTTGGTGCACTGTTTTAGATTTTTATATATATATATATATATATAGAAGCGAATTTCCTTTTTGCTGTTGGAAGAAATCCAAATAACCACAGCAGCATTAAAAATGAAGGGCAAATAAAAGCACCTTTCCACAGCCAAATTTGCAGTTTCAGAGCTTGTAGCAGGGGCTGTTTCATTGGGGGTTGTTAGATTGGCCTCAGTAGAGGATACTGGTGACCTTTTGGAGACCCCTTTGTCTCCTGTTCTGATTGACCCACTCTAGCAATGTAGGCTTCCAAATATAGTCTTTACTCTGTCAGTGTTTTTACTGTTTCAGTCCAAGATAGCTTATTCCATCTAGTGAAACTTCCCCAGAGGCCATAGCTGGTTGCATAAATAGCCACTCTGACACACTCTTCTTCTTTCTCTCTCCCGCTCTCTCAGCTTCTATGCAGACTTTGGTCCCCTTAACCTGGCCATGTTTTATCGCTTTTCTTGCAAGCTGACAAAGAAGCTCAAGGTAAAGTCAACTGCTGCTATTAATTACACCTCCTGGAAGAGAGAATGGGAAGCAAAAGCCAGGTCAATCAATATCTTTTTATACCTGCAGTAGGAAGGCAAAATAAAGTAATAATTTATTTATTTTTTTGCATGGCAATTAGCAGTACTTGTCAATTTTTTACAGTTAAATTTACATCCCTAATATCCCTGGTTTGTGTCAACTTGTGACACCACTATTCCTCTTTGTCACGACAGTTTGCCTGTATTGGGCACATAGAGTTATCTTCAAGGCTGTTGGGCACAGATTCAGGCGCTATCTCTCATCTTTAGTACGTACCGGTAATTGTCTTATGTGGTGATTGCCCAAACTTTTTGAGACCAGCCCCCACCACCTATGCAGCAACTTTGTAATAAAGTCATTATTTCATTTACGAGTTAAAATTCATCATCCATGAGGAATTTACATTTCTGTCTAGCTGCTGTATGTTAATGTAATGTTTACATTTTAGATTACATATTTGTGATTCAAATAAATAAGGTATTTTTTGTCAGTTCATACTGTTGCTGTTATTGTTTTTGCACAGTCCATTACACTGTCAAGGAAGAAAATCGTGTTTTATACCTGTGGAGATCAGAAGAAACAAGTCAATGCTGCCTACCTAATTGGCTCATATGCAGTAAGTGGTGTTTAAACACAGATTCTACTAATAGCTTGGGAAATAATGTCTGCACGAGGAACTTGCTGATTTAAACATTTGTAATCAAAGGTAATGAATCTAAACATGATGCCAGAGGATGCCTACAGTCTCCTGGTGTCAAGGAATTCAACATATATTCCATTCAGGTAACATTTCACTTTTACCTTATATATTTTACATTTAACATGGATTCTCATTAAAGCAACTAAGAATGAGTGCAGCTTGGGCTGGACAGTACAGTGTCATTATCAGTATTGTCATTTACAATAGGCACATAGCATATTTAGCTTTTTGAAGACCAATTTCAAGGATAAAAAGTTTAAATATGGTAAAAACAACAAGCATCACAAATGGATTTTGCACCTATCTTAAGAAGACATGAAATCTTTAAGAGGAATTGTTGGTGAAATATTGCTGAATCTTTTTCTAAGTATGTTAAATATATTTTGTGCAAAAAATGTCTCCATATATCTCGTCAAATTGTGTCATTTTCAAAATATCTCCATATACAGGGAATAATATCAGAAACTAAATCACAATGTTATCCCCCCCCCCCCCCCCCACCCCCCCCCAGTATTGTTTAGACCTGGCTGCAACGTAAGAAATGTTCCAACATCACCAGACCTTGAAGGCACAAGAGCCCTGGTGCCCTGTTAGTTTTACTGTGACTATAAAATGGTGAAGTAAAAGAAGTAAAAAGTGAAGATAGAGAACAACACATTAGGAGAGAGGATGATGGAAAGCATTTGGGAGCAGGACATTTATATTTCAAGGGACATAAACATCCTTTTAGTATCTGTGATAATGTATGTTATGTTTCAGAGATGCTTCGTTTGGAACCTGCATGTACAATCTGAACATCCTCGATTGCCTTCGTGCCGTACACAAGGTATGTCATGTTAAGATTGATGTATTTTTCTTTCTTGCTGTGTCATGCTCCTAATGAAATTAACCCCCCCCCCCCCCCAACTATCTACCAGGCTCTGCAGTACGGCTGGCTCGACTTCTCTAACTTTGACGTGGAAGAATATGAGCATTATGAGAGAGCAGAAAATGGAGACTTGAACTGGATCATTCCAGGAAAGTTCCTTGCGTTCAGTGGGCCTCATCCAAAAAGCAAAATAGAGAATGGTAAGTGAAATATACTTTTAAGTTGGTGATTTGCTTTGAAAAACGGTGTCTGACCTAATTTTAACACCTGAGTTCACAAGATCCCCCCCCCCTCTTACCCCAGGCTACCCTTTGCATGCTCCAGAGGCCTACATCCCATACTTCAGGAATCATAACATCACCACTATTATCCGACTCAACAAGAAGATGTACGATGCCAGGCGGTTCACAGAGTCTGGCTTTGAGCATCAAGATCTGTTCTTTGTGGACGGGAGTACACCAAACGACTCCATCGTCAGAAAGTTCCTCAACATCTGTGAGAATGCAGAAGGAGCCATTGCTGTCCACTGCAAAGGTCAGACTTCTCGCCCACATTCCCAACACAAGAAACTTTCATGGGTCAGACTATTCTGGCTGATTGTGGTTAGTACTTGTAGATGTATACCCCTGTTAATTGCACACTTTAATGCCATACCACTGTCTTTTTTTTTTTTTAATAGCTGGTCTGGGGAGGACTGGAACCCTGATTGGCTGCTATATGATGAAGCATTACCGCCTGACTGCTGCAGAAGCCATTGCCTGGATACGGATCTGCCGACCAGGATCCATCATTGGACCTCAGCAGAACTTTGTTGAAGAGTAGGTGTTCACTGAAGCAGTCAGATCAGAAAACAACATCCTTAGGGATTATATATCAAGAGTTTGACAGTCAGAAATGCAGCTGGCTCATCAGGACTGTGTTTTGATCAGATTTAATTGACAGTGATGGCCGCATAAGCAATTGATGCCACAACTTTTATCACATTTCAATTCAAATGTTGCTTTACTCTGATTGATGAAATGTGACCTCACATTTCCCCAACTGAGCCCCGCCCACCTCAAACCAGTGAGAAATGCAAGGACAAAAACAGAAATCTCTTATGTGGAATCAACAAAATTGTTAACTTTAAGAGGTTGTGTGTTCATGTAGGACCCCATCACTTACAGTAGGTAAGAAAAAGGGGTTTCAGGGCCGTGCAGACTCGTATCATAGGACCTTCATGTCTAATGTTAATAGTGATGCCGTTTTGGCAAGAAACACCATAATTTATGGTTTGTTGAATTTTTTCAGGAAGCAGAACAGTCTGTGGGCGGAGGGAGATGTTTTCCGGGAGAAGATGCAAAATGAGCGTGAGAATGGCAAGGTGGCTGTAACCAGGATCCTGTCTGGAGTGGATGACATAACCATCAATGGGAGCAACAAGAACAGGCCATCCAAGAAAGAAGAAATGGAACTGGTGAGTTTTGAAATGATGCTCTTGCCACGCTTTCAGCTACAGAAGTAGACTTTTTTTTGAAAGTGCTTCCGTAAGCAGAAATACAATCTATACACCCCACTTTGTCTGTTCATTGGTTTGTTTTGTTTTACAGTACAATGATGAAGAGGACAGAAATGGCCTTACACAGGGTGATAAACTGCGAGCCCTGAAGAGCAAGAGGCAGGCCAGATCGTCCTCGGGTTCACTATCGTAAGTACAAAGGCAGTCTGCAAGTCTCATCATGCTTCATGCCGACGTGTCGTAGTACTGTAAAATGAGCAAAGCCTCTCCTTGTCAGTCCCTCAAATCATTATGCATTTACAGCAGTGTTTTTCAAATCAAAAGTAACTTATGATTTGAAAAGTTTTGATTTCACAATGACTAGGAAAGTGACCGTGTGTTACATTATTTCATTTGATGAGCTTCTCTCCTTTTCTTGAGTATTTATTCAGGATAGTCAGCTGTCCCTTGTGTCAGGTTTAAGGCATGGCTAATCTCTTAGGGCTGCTCTCCCTTACCCATACCATGGCAGTTTCATCCTAATATCAAAATTTATATACGAGTTAACTATGCGTAATCTTCCTATAACCCTGTTTCTGTGTCCTCCTCTTGTTTTGATTAAATGTCATCACATGAGGTGTATTAAGTTTTCATCTGTAATCAGTGAGTGATGAGTGAACAATTAAGTCAAGGAAGTAGTGGGTCAAGTAGTGGCTGGATTGGCATTATCTGATGAACAATCTTCCAGGAAAAACTTTTTCTTGTGGGCTGGATTTAGAAAGGCACACAAGATGTGGAAGTTAAACATATAATCTGTTTTTTGTTTTTTAAAATCTGTCAAAATCTTAAAAATGAATCTTAGAGTTGAGGAGAAACCATAGAAAGGCGAATCAAGTTTAGTTTTATAGGTACTGGGTTATCATGGCACAATGTCATTGATGTAATTGTGCCCCTCGTTTAGTCAATAGACTGTACAACATATTTTAAAAATCACAGGTTCAAGAATATGCAGATATATTAAACTTGTTGAGGACTTTGATGTCTGTAGCACCTCAAACTATAAATTGTTTATTCAGCATAGGGTTAGATAAGCTAACAGAAAATAATGAAAAAGTGGTGCATTAGATGTAAATGTTAAGATTAAAAAGCAGACATTCATTGTATGGCAGAGAACAGAACTAGCAACAATGTCAAAACAATTCTGGACAATGAATGAAGGCAGGAGAAGGTTTTAAACAGACTTGACCTTGGTCTGATGTCAGGCCATGAGTTGGTAAGCAAATGGATGTACAGCCCTGCAACTCTGAACTGGGAGCATGTAAATCATTAGTTAAACTTAAAATAGTCAATGTGTTTTTTTTCTTGTACCACAAATTAAACTCCAAAGGTGTAGTAATGCCATTAAGCCTTTGCAAATGGCTGGACAACTATAACATATTACCAACCCAGTTGTTCCCTGCCTTAAATAAAAAAAGTCCACATCATTTGTGCCTGTGTAAATCATGCCGTGGAAGGTTGGATGTCAGCATGGCCGAGGATGGTTGATCGGCCTGTGCCAATGTACCCATATGGCTTTGGCTTTTGTTGTCCCATGTCAGGCAGGTGGTAGTGTTCTGCTGCAGCCTCATGGGTGTGGTGTGGCCGATGTGTTGCCTGCCGCTCAAAAGATAGCAGAGAGAGGCAGAGAAAGAGTTGGGGAGAGGAAAAACAGAGAGAGGATGTGAGGTTTTGTATGATGGAGGTAAGTGCATGTCACTTCCTTTATAGCTGACATCCTCTTCCTGTAGACATGGTTGCTATGCCAATGAATGGTATGGCTAATTTGAAGTTCCCTTATTTTGTTTTTTTTTCTCTTCTTTCTATGGATGATAATGGTGTGATGTGGAGATGCACTTGGAGATGCAATACATTTACACGCCTTTCATTATATGCCTCATGGACTCACTGAGCTGCTTCTGCTTTGATATCAAGGCTTACCTGAGATATCCTCTGAGTTACAGTAAAGCTGTCAAGTTGAGCCTGCTATACTTGTTAACAACATCCCCAATTATTCAACTAATCACATTTTTCATAAGATCTGGATTAGTTGAATTACATGTTGTCCTGCCTGGCTTGCACTACTGACTTGGCCCAAGAAAACATGTTGGTAAGGGAAACTTGATCCTCGTTCTGATCCACAGTAGGTACTTCCTTATTGTTTGGTTAAAATAGCTACCCTGCTTGCTCAGTCACTTAAGATGTAGGTGTTTTTTGGAAATGTAGTACTTTGATGTTAGAATGATCTTTGCAGCGTTTAATTAAGGATTTTTTTTAAATGGTATTGTTGGGAAATTCCTCCTGATCTGCGTTCTAATACAAAGGATTATAAAACATTGTGTGCTTCTGGGGAGATAGGGGGATGAAAATGGGTTCTTATCCATTCTCAGGGGCCAATTGAGGCAGAAGGGAGATTTGCTTGCACTGCAGGCCATATGCCTTATCAGTCAGTGTATGCGTTGCTACACAAACCTCTAACTTCCAGCTGAACTTCACCATCTGGCTCCACTGTTTGTTTTATGATGCAATACTGAAGTACACGTTGAATTCCAGTGACTATTTAGAACGATGATTTATATGTAAACTCTTCATCTTTTCATGCATGGCAACAGGCATGAAACCCATGGACATGCGCGCATGGACATGCCTCTGTTTGATCTGTGTTTGTGTCTAACATGAAATTAATGTTGGCCAGGTTCATTGTCAATTGCCTGTGGTTTTTCCATTGCTTTTGTGACTGGATCAGTGTACACATAACCATCTGAGCTTTTACTCCTTCTGTCTCTGCCAGCTTCTTTTTAAACAGTCCATTTTTATGGAACACATTTGGGTAATGGGTACTTAAATATTTGTAGGATTTTAATATTTTAAGACAGACATGGTTTTTATGATCAAAGTATTGCAGCTCGATTGATCTATTGGCCGGCTGGTATCAACCACTTTTTGCTCATCATACAGCTATCGATGTGTATATTGGCAGGAATTGCAGTCCATAAATGTTTTTTATATAGATTTATTTCTTTGATATACAATATTAACTTTGTTTTACAATTACTTTGATTTAAATTTCAGTGCTACTTAGTTACTACCTTAGTTTCATTTTTAAAGTTAAGTTTAGCCACACTACATGCTGTATATTTGTCATAATGTTTAACTAAATTATTACTGTCAAAAATGTTTTTCTGTAAAATGGAATATCAGTTTATTTAAACTCATAAATAGTGAAATCTCCTTCAAAATATCCACATCAGTCAGGTTCTAAATGTAGAGCAAACTGCTAACACATCAGAGCAAATGAAGAACAAAAACTTGCTGACTGGCACTGTTGGATGCAAGGCTCTATGAAAGGTGTTTCATCTAATCCAGTCCCAATGGAAAAGCAGAACATCAGAGGCCTTTTGTCCTGCCTGGACGTCTCTTGTCTCTCCTTCCTTTTTCCCCCCTTTTTTTCCGTTTGCTCTTGTTGTTGGATTTGTCCTCCTTTCAGATGGCTGGTAGCCATGCTGCTCTCCTCCCTGTGTAGCCTTGCCCTGTGGTGGATTGTGTATGGCTTCCCTTCTTCCATCCTGCATTTCTGTATAGACGGGTTAGGATTTCAATGAGTTCTACAGCCCGTCAGCCCCCAAAAAACCTGTCCTGCCCCCCCTTCTGGAGCTCTAACTGAGAATGCTGTAAGTGAGCCCCCAGTCTTTTTTTTTTTTTAAATCCCAACCAAAATCAGAAATTTGTTAAAGATCATCTTGTTACTTTATTCTTCCTGCAAGCATATTAAATTTAAAGCTAATGAGCAGAGCCCATTTTTAAACATCAGAGGCTCCTGCCTTTTCCATGTCACCATTTTCTGTACATAATGATTTTGTCCTTCTGTTCCCATCATACTGTCATCTTTAAACATCATGCTTTGCTGGTGCCAGCTGTTAAACCAAGCCAGACAGTTGACCCTTCTTGATTAAAATGATACCTTTTGTGAAAAGGCAAATCAAGTCCCTCTTAAGTTTAGTACCCCCTGCTGGCCTTTTCTGGTACTTACTTGGCTTTACTAATCCTACCTGGCTGCCAGAGCTGCAATAATGAGTGCAACAGATTTTTTTAAAAACCTTCTTGCCCATCTCCATACAGTCTTTGCCTCCTCCTGCCTCCACTCTGTCCTGTCACCTTTCTATCAAATCTCTCAATACAAAAATGTTTCTCTCATTTCTTTCTTTACTGTCGTGTTGCTTCTGTTTCACAGACAAGAAGAGAATAAGATTCACACCAGGTCATCATCACAGTCACTAAGGTAAAGTTTGCAGTGTTCGCACAACATGGGTACCTACGCTCTGACATTAAACATGGCTCAGACTAATAAAACATTTGTCTCTTCTGCAGCACGGTCATCTTGCAGGCCAGTGTTCAGGACTGTATGGCCAGCGTCCACCCCTTGGCTCTGTCTGATCACTCGGACAGTAGGAAGAGGACCAGAACCTCACTGCCAGCCAACGGAGTAGGAGGAAGGTCAGTGGCTGGAACTGACATTTACTCATTGATAGCCCAGATGTGTTATCTGGGAGAGCAGTGCAAGAAATAAAAGGGGACATTGGGTGCTTATTATTATATATTATTATTATTATTATTATTATTATTATTATTATTATTATAATATTTTTTTATTTTTTTTTAACTGTCTGCTTAAAAGCAAATAAAATGGGGGGACTGGCCTAACTAGGCTAATGATTATGAATGAAATGAACTTTCCAAATGATTATATTAAATATATGCAGCATTCAGTATATTGGGGGGGGGGGATAACAGTTGGAGCTGGATGAGAACAGTATTTTGATAAGATAATGTTAACTCAAGGTCCACATATGAGCTTTATCCTTGACACTTATCTGCACCTCAGTTTTCTAAGTTTCCTAATCACGTGACCTAAGTATGGAACTTTGTTCCCATAATAACAGGTGGGCGTATATAGGAGGGAGACTGTGCCCTTAAACATAACTCAGTCATTAACTGATCTGGTCTCTGTTCAACAAATGAGCTGACTTCATTCGCTGCAGAAGAAGCCCCTAGAAAATGTTAAGCCGACTTTAAGTTAAGATTATTTCATCAGATTAACAGAATTGTAAAACCTCAGTTTGTTTGTTCTTGCTCCTTTGGAAATTGGCATCGTTCCCACTTATTTCTTTATCCACGCCTGTGTTGTGTTGATGCAATGTCTAATTCATTAAATTCTGTTTTGATGTTTTTATCTGAGGTTGACACAGTTGAAAAGCAGCCAAGAGGCTATAGCCACTCATGGGTCCTTGTGGAGTAAATTAACAGCTTCCCATTCTCTCTGCCAGCTCCCTGTGCCACACCAGACTGGTCAGGTCCCTAGGCAACTTGCATGTAGTGGCTGGCGACAGAGACCCAATGTGTTGTGAGCCATGTGGCAGCCATAGAGACGCAGCCAGTGCCACAGCCAACACAGGCACTCTCATCAACTTAAACATGGCAAGGGTCCACCTGCAGGCAAGCTCCCTCAGACCCACTCTGAGCCATATGGAGACTTGGGCTGCATTTGCACACAAGCAGGAATTTTACTGATCAGTTTCCTCTGAAGAGATGTTCTCTATGCTGTCAAAACAGGGAAAGTCGCATTAAAATGGTTTGGCACCACTAGGATGATCAGATCTGTTAAAGATAATTTAATTGGTGCCTGTGTATAAATCCAGTCAGAATCCAGAGGCTCAGTGCTTTATCTCTCTTTCTCCTCTTAATGCTCATGACAGTGGTTCTACCATAATCGCGTAATGTACTTGGGCTGGGATGCATCAACATGGATTAAATGTTTAAAGAAAACCAAACTGGTTTACGTAGTCAGGAATTAGCAAGATTCAATTTAGATCTCACTTTTAACAATTTTGATCTGACAGTTGAGTTGTTTCACATGTCTGGAGGGCAGCGTCTTTGAGGTAGTTGGGAGAAAACTTGACGGAAGATAAGCATCAGACTTAACTGATCTCATTAACTGAAACGCCCAGTTGATTTAATTTTTAGATTTGTGAATTACCAAACTCTAATTTGTCAGCACAAGTCCTAACATAACAGAGTGGAGTTAACAAATGATCTATTTGTCCAAGACATGAAATTAAATTAAATCAAAACTTCAAATTAAACAGAAGTCATTTTTTTTTAATTCTATTTTCCAGCTGGATACTGTGTATTTTTGTATCGTTAATCAGTCAAAGCTTTATTATTTTTTACTATGATTACGTCCATCATAGTTCATTTTAAACAAAGTTAACTAAACTGGTTGCCGTTTAAAATCAAACCATGATGGTGAAACCCAGCCGCGCATCTCCTTTACTTGTACTAACATTAAATATAGCCCGACATTGTCCAGGACTAACATTTAGTAAATCTGATCCTGCTTAGGCACCACTATCAGGTTGCCATGCAACTCCACCTGGCTCAGTCTCCCTGCTGCTTCTTCCAATAGCTTTCCTTGCATGTTCTCTGAGAACGGGGATTTCGGAGTAAGACTGGCTATAGCTTCTCTGGAGTCTGCTGCTTGATGTGTCTTCTACCTCTGGCCTCTTGTTATCCCACTATAGCTCTGTCTGCATCCTTTACTAGTGCTAATCTGTCATGTTTATATCTCCTCTTTCCTTCTCTTCTATATTTCTTACACGCAACAGGCGCACTGTCTCCAGAGGATGTAAAGCTCACAGCTCTTTGCAATCAATTCGATTTTCCAGGCTATGGTATCTATCTCTCCTTCATTCTGTTACATGTAATGTATTATGTTACGGGCATGTCTGATTCATGTGCATAATTAATGCTGACTCTGTTTTCTTTATAGTCACTCCATACCCAAAGCTAGAGCACCTCTACTTCGGTGAGCCTGCGGAACTGGGAATCTTGAGGAATTTCACATTAAATCCAACTTCTATACAGCAAACAAAACTGTTGGAACAAACTTTAACCAACGTGATGTAACATGTAAATCATTTATAGAATGTTTGCTTCAAAGTTATTTTACCTGTTAAGGCACTTTGTTTTGTTTTTAAAACGGCATCATGAAACAAATTAACTTTTAATCATTGACTGGTTATTCCTACTTATTAAAGCATGAAGTAGCAAACATCAGATTGGACTGGCTTGTGAATATCTAAATCCAAGTTATTCCTCCAAAATGAACACTGATGATATTCTGGTTCTTATGATGTGAGAATCTCATTCAGTTTAAAAAATGTGAATGGATTTGGCCAGAAGTTAGGAATAAAAAGCTTCTCTTTGTTCTCCATGGCACAAAGGTGTGTTTACTTGGATGTAGAAACAAGTCTGTTTTGGCAAGAATTCCCATCACAAGACAAAGAACTGTGCACATTTGTACCTCCATTCTCAATATCTGGCTAGTCATGTATTCCTTTTCATTTACTTAAGCTTTTCAGCCCTTGTATTTCAAGAATGTAAATATGTCAACATTTGATATACTCAGTTTGTATTTTTTAAATTTTTGTACTGTTTGAATCATGCTATAATTAGTCAGTGGTCCTAAAGGGACCTTGTCCAATTCATGTTCATAATCCACTAAAGACATTTGCTTGAAGCACAGAAGCAACTTTTTAAATAAAATTATACTCAAGTAAGTCTCTTCATTTTACGTCTCGTCATTGTTGTTACAGCCTCGTGCCAAAATGGAAGAAATTCATTATTTTCCTCAAAATTCTACAAACAATACCCCATAATGACAAGTGTGAAAGTGTTTGAAATCTTTGCAAATTTATTAAAAATAAAATACACAAAAAGCACATGTACAGAAGCTGTCAGTCTTTGCTCAATACTTTGCTGAAGCACATTTGGCACCAATTACAGCTTAGCTTTTTGAGCATGATGCTACAAGCTCGACACCCATTTTTGGGCAGTTTCTCCCATTATTCTTTGCAGGACCTCTCAATCTCCATCAGGTTGGATGGGAAGCGTTGCTGCACATTTTCAGATCTCTCGATGTTTAATCGGGTTAAAAGTGTGAGCTCTGGCTGGGCCACTCAAAGACATTCAGAGTTGTCATCTAGTTACTCCTTTATCTTGGCTGTGTGCTTAGGGTCTTAGTCCTGTTGGAATAGGAACCTTTGCCCACGTCTGAGGTCCAGAGCAGGTTTGTGTTAAGGATGTCTCTGTACATTTGCATTCATCTTTCCCTCGATCCTAACTAGTTTTCCAGTTCCTGCCACTGAAAAACATCCCCAAAGCACAATACCCCCACCACCATGCTTCACTGTAGGAATGGTATTGGCCAAGTAATGAGCAGTGCCTGGTTTCCTCTACACATGACGCTTGCCATTCATTTCTGCCTTTGACAGGTTTGTTTCTACTGAGTCTTGACAAGTCCTGCCCTACTGTTCTGATTGGCTAGCACTCATCACATGCACGCATCACTGTAATTGGATGTTAGCTTTGAGCGCAGCAAATCCTGACTTGTGATTGACTAGTAGCCAACACAGACTGATTAAGATGTTATACTAAAAAAAAAAAACATTTATATTCATATGTAATCTTTATATTTTACAGAGGAAGTGCAACTCAACCCAAACTTCCTTCATGTTGTCATTATGGGGTATTTGTAGAGTTGAAGAAAATCAATTTCATCCATTCTGTAATAAGGCTGCAACATAAAATGTGGAAAAAGTGAAGCACTGAATACTTTTTGGCATGCACGATAGAAAAATATACGTTTACCTAGTATCGGTTAGTTGTGCCGATTACAGTTGCATTATTGCCTACAAATGCAAAAACAGGTCCATGCATCTCACATTTGCTACTGGTTTTGTTAAAATGTTGCTGCTTGTATGCAAAACAAACTACAGCTCCAAGATAAACTTGCAAAAGCATTTATTTTCCAGGAGTCAAAATGCAGAATAGTTCCTTCAGTGCAGTAGAACAAAATAAACCAAGTACAATAAAACCCCAAATCTTTACAGCAGAAACATTTTTTTTTTAATTTTTTATTATTTAGCAAGTGTCAAGTGCAACCAATATTCCCCACAGGAAGTAAACAAAGTAGTAAATTCAGTTATCTTCCTGCTGATAGTGCTGGGAAGTCTTCTGGGTCATCTGGGTTAGGAGCCAGCTCATCCTCCTGGTGGGAGGAGACATTACAAAACACTGCTTAATCATGTTGCACACAACTCAAAGATCTGTTTAATATTCTGGTTGATTACAGTATATTTGGGATTGTAGTTTATAGTAATGACATAGGTTTTCCAGTGTAGAATGTCTCCTTGAACCAAGATGGCGCTGCGCATAGCTGCCTCGGCGTTAGATGCCCTCAGTTCTGTTTTTTTTTAACCTCGCCACAAAAACAGCTTCTTCACGTCTGCAGCTAGCCTCATTAAATACTACAAAATGTCTCTGCACGTGTAAATACCATTTCATATCGTTATTCTATATTTTGTCAATAAAATAAATATGTACACAATATTCTTCCGTTGCAATATGTCTGCACAACACAAACCGAGTAATGCACCTGTAAATATCTAAGACGTTCTTTTGCAAATACTTGTATAAAAAAAAAAAATTGGAAAAGACAGATGTTAATGATAAAAGAATAGAGAAATACAATACATTTCTTCATATATACACAACTTTATCAAAGTACGTGTAAAAACTACTTGGCAATAAAGCACTTTGCTTCTTCTTGAAGAAACAAATGCAATCCCTTCAGAACACAAGCCAAGGCTCAAATGCAGACATCAAGTGAACCTCTATCCATAAGTGGAGGAGTTGACATTTCTTTTAACTCTGAAAGCACATACTCGCATACTAATTTTAGAACTCCATGTACTTCCACTGGGGTAGCCTACATTTTGTGTCCCTACATCAATTTGCATTAATCTTGGCTAAGTCAAGAACTTACCCTCTCCACTATGGGTTTGGTTCTCTCTGGGCGACTTGCCGGACCACCTCGTGCTCCCCTTCCCCGACCCCCACGACTGGGGCGTCCAAGACTCCCGAAGTTGATGTCCAGAAGGGAGGTGATGTCATTCACAGACCTACGAAGGAAGTGGCCATCATCCTCCATGTCCTCCACAGACTCTTTGAGGTTCTGAAGATTAGAGGCAAACGGTAAATATAGTCTGATCGACAGTTACAGCAAAACACATCATCTCCACAGATCTAAAGTCTGGCCAGGAGAAAACGCTTCTCAAAAGCCTGGGCTGAAATTCTTAGATCATTAGGTGCCCATCACAGTACAGACAACCACCCTTTGCCTAGTTCACACATTTCTGAAGGACTTCCGTCTGTAAGTTACAGTGAAACATCACTACATGATAAAGCACTCTGCAAGCTCTTAATGCCAGCTCACAGCTCTACTTTCAGCCAGGCTTTGTTGTTTTCTTGGGAACAGACTCCATGAAGGGCTTCACTTGCTCACCTCCAGGTGCTTTGACTGGTGGATGACCTTTGCTTTGGAGGGAATCTTGTTCTCTGCTTTGCGGATATTAAACTCTGCCTTGGGTCGACTCATCTCTTGCATGGCCTTCCACTCGTCCAGGGTCATCTCCATGGCAACCTGGACCACCATCTCTCCATCCTCCTCTGTTGCTCTGATCATAATTGGGAACAAACTACAGCGGTCATTCCACTTTTAAGTTTGAAGATGTCAGAATAAATTCTTTTTTTTTAATGTCAATCTAGTGTGACATTGCCAAATAACGACATTCTTCGGTTCTTTGTCATGATAAAGCAAAAAAGAAATTCAATTTCACTAGTATATTTGGCTAGGGGATGTATTCAATGTATCATTGCAAAAGAAAGGGTAAAATCCAGTTTGAAACCTTGTTAGAACCAGAATTTTTAAAAAAATTAACAAAAAAAATAAAAAACCGACACCCAAGCAGCGGTGTTATTTTCCATTAGGGGCTTTCATACTGCATTATTTTTGAGAAGTATTACTAGCTCTAGTATCAGTAGTAGTATAATAGCTCTATGAAAAGTATGTAGCTGGAAAGGGGGTCAGATTTGATCCACCTCTGAGCTAGCAACTTTGGTAGTAACAGAGCTGGAACAATGAGGTGCGACACATTGATGACATGCTGAAGACCACTTTGTTCTTCTGATTAGCTGCAAACTGTTCAAGGTCAACAGCAATTTTGGGATATACTGCATATTATGCACAGCAACTTTGCTTGGGTTTATAGGATGGTATAAATGTGCACATTAGCAAAAGAAACTAAATACTTTGGTTACCCGCCATTGTTTTGCAAGCAAGGCCTACATGTGGTGCATTTGCTCTACGTCACACAAGACGCCAATGCTGTTGTGTTACACATCAGTCTGTCTATCTATAGTCATGCCTCTGCTTCTGGAAAGCCGGATCGCTGTGTTAAAGCACTCCGGGTTGTGGGATTATGCTGCAAACTTATGATCAGTATCAATGAGCGAATCAGACATATTGGCGGATATTCTTTCTGCGTTTATTGCGGGATCTCTGTATAAAAATGGCCTTTTAACAGAAACCTGCTTTTCTTTAACAAATTTGATTTTGTATCAACTGTGGCAGTCAGCTAGGCAGGGATGCCCTTATACGGGCTCTTGCTCATTATCTGGTCCAGGCCCCCCATACACCCACTCAGTCTGTCTCAGTAATTCGACCTCTGCTCATAGCGCTTTCTTCAGGGCTGACACGGCACTAAAATTAAGTGTGGCAGTAGGTCTGGCTGTACGAAATAACTCCGCTCAGGGTGTGCTTGTTCTGGTGTGACTGAAGTTAGTTAGGTGGCTTTACTGGTTGCTAGTGTCGCCAATTCGAGTCCAGTGTGGACTGGTAGCTGGAGAGTTGTGCATTTCAACGCATGTGTGTATAAACACAACAGAGTGAGAAAATGTTAAACAGTTAGTGGTTACTTTAAAGCTCTGTCCGTCCATCAGGAAACTCCATAAAATTATCAATTTTCACCAAAATCAGAGAATAAAGTTAATTGTTTTTGTACAATAATTAGTGAGGCCCCAAGCAGGTCTGGTACCTACACCAGCCCCTAGAAAGACTCTACTCTGGCTGTATACCGTTTTTCCAACTTAATTCTTGTCCCATTTGTGGTCTAATAAACAGCAAAGTCAGCAAATTCAGAGTTTCCCCAAGATAAGTTAACAGATGAAAATTAAAAGTTTAATATTTCTGAGGATCTAATCGACAGAAATGCAATATAAAGATCCATACCCATTTCCAGTGGTGTGTAAAGACATGATAAACCATTGTTTTTATTACCTTAGAATGAATCATTTATATCTACATAACCGCGGGCACCCAGTTCCATGGACGTCACCACGTTGCATAGTCATGTTTCTACAGTAGCTAAAACAGATAAACAGCGCTACAGAGCGCGTTCCATCACTACATTCAGGCAGTGCAGACACTCATCACAATGTCGAATATGTACGTTAGAAGTAGTAGTAATAATAATAATCTGTAGGGGTCGGCAAATAAGTTTTGCATCAGAGCAGTACTTTCAACCATTACATGGTGGATGAGAATTTAAGCCATAATATTGACTTGCATCAACATGTTGTTCGGTTAGCTCATGTCAGTAAGGCGCAGGACTTGTAACTGAGGGTTGAATGTTTGATCCCATGTTGGGACAACCCCCCCCCCTGCAACAAATGGATTCTGTAGTGAATGTTTCTCAGATCACGGCATGTGCTGCACTGTTATTGTTTTGCTGTTTGATCCTCATCCATCAACCTATCGAAGCTTTACTCTGGCCACTTCTTTAAGTTTGCTTTTAACATAATACCTTATCTAATAGGGGGGGCAGAGAGCAGTTTTAACTGTAAGTCATGCAAAACTACTCTAGTGCAGTGCGAGAATACAGAGCTGGAAATTAGCATAATAGGTTCCCTTTAACTATTGTCTAATCAACAATTACTTGGGCAGAAGAGGGGCTAGATCAATCCTAAAAAGGCAATTAATTTTCATAAGTGTCACTTCCACTCAAGTTCAGACAAGCCACTCTTGACTGATTTATATGCCACTGAACCAGGTGACGTAAATGCTCTGTATTTGTATAGCGCCTTTCTAGTCTTTTCAACCACTCAAAGCGCTTTTACACTACATCTGCATTCACACACATTCATACACTGGTGGAACAATTCGGGGTTTAGTATCTTACCCAAGGACACTTCAACATGCAGCCTGGAGGAGCCGACCTTCCCATTAACGGGCAACCCGCTCTATCCCCTGAGCCACAGTTGCCCCACATGTAGAAAGATGCTTGTGTGTGTTACTCACCGATTCTGAGTGTCTTCCTCCACCGGTATTTGGGGTTCCTCAGATTTGACTGGAGCATCAGATGCACTTTCCATTAATTCACTTCACAAAAAAAAAAAAAAATGGACAGAAAAACAGAAAGTAGTCCATATTAAGCCCAAGTGTAAAAGTTGTCATTTTTGTGTTAATCAAAATTCACTTACCTTGCAGCTTCTTCAACACTGCCCCAGTTCCAGGGTCCTCTGCCTCCCCTCTTTTCCTCAGGAGAGATGCCTCTGCAATGAATGTCGTCAATACACCATTATTAGAGAAACAACATAAGCATTTTAAACTGGACTCCTGCATTAACAAAAAGGCTTACGTTCCATTGTGGCGATCATACTCTCTCTTGCCCCTCAGGTTGAAGTTGTCCGAATTCATTGTGTATCCTCCTCCACCACCACCTCTTCTTCCTCCTCTCCTACCTCTGCTCCCCCCTCCACCCCTGTAGTTGGAGTCTGCATTATAGGAAGGCCTAGGGACCAATCAAATTAAAATACAGTTTATTGCTCCAATAGCTCCTACATTTCAAATCCAGCTGATGGGAGTATTGCAGTAGACATTGGTCTTATGAGAAAAAGATAGGTGATATTAATTAGTGACAATTACAGTGGTAAATGCTGAAATGTCACTTAACATTACCATTCATAGGTTACTGTTCATACTAGACCACACCAGACTACCCGAGTGTCTTTAATATAGCAATGGTGTGTTTTATTAATTATTTTGTCATTGCATTTTAAGAAGAACTATGTAGCATTGCTTATTTCAAAAGTTGCAGTCTCATTTTAAATAACCTTAATATAAATTCACTTTCTGCACAAAAAAAAAGAAGTCAGAGCAAAACAGAGCATGTGCAGACTTAATTATTATGCAGAGTTGAGTTTCAGCCTTTAGCCCTAACATGTATGAGAACACATACTTAGAGATGGAAAACTCCTGGGGGTACTCCCCTTGGTTGGCTCTACGCTCCCCAAAGGCAGCCCTCTTTTGGCCCCTCTGGGGCTCTTCTCTGCCATCTCCACTCTCGGTCACTGGTCCAGGACGAGCCTGCTGCTGCTTATGAACTGAACAGAGAAAGAAAGGTAGTGAGATATTCAAATTGTGCTGTATCACTACCCCAAAACTGCCCTTTTTGGAACCACTCATCTATAAAACCCACTTATTACAGTCTGTGATACCACAAAAAAAAGTGATGGCTTATATTTCAATCTTCCATTACTCCACAAATCTGATTTAAAAAACAAACAAAAAACAAACAAAAAAACCCAGTATCAATCTCCTTACATTCTTTCAAACCTCCATCCTACAAAAAGAAGAGAACTGGTCTGATAAGAAAACAAACAGTCCAGTACCCCCCCACCCCCCCGGAAAAAAGATAAAGTTTGCATTTGACTGCAATGAGAATGTAATTCTCGCCTGCCCTCCCTGACAGCATGTACATGTGCTCAGCAGCCTCGCTGACCTTGCACCATCAGCAGCTGACAAAGCCTCATCATGCTGGCCACTCTTGGCTGGACTATCCGGTCTAGAAATACTAGCAGTTGCCAGAATAGTTTGTATTTCGGGTGTGTAACGTTAATGCACCCAAGCGGTTAGCTTGCCTGGAACCGGCACTTGACCATCCGACGCAACGGGGAGGCGTCTGTCCTTCTGGGATTCCTTCTGGCCAGGTTTTTTCTGCTTGCCTTTCTTCGCACAGTCTTCCTTCTTCTTCTTATTCTTCTCCTTTTCCGTTTCCACTTCGTTGATCAAGTCGAACGGGTCCGCCTCGTCATCCAGAAGATCACCGAACCTGTTCGCCACAACGCAGCCGTAGGCGTCCGGCAGCATTTTAGCCTGTGTATGAGGGGAAAAGGGCCGACTTCAAAGGCTTCTTCAAGATGAACACATGTCTTGCAAAAATCAAACAGCAAAACGACCGAAAAGAGCTGCCAACAGTGTGTTACTTTGGTGCCCTGGTGAACATCCAACAGATGCCCACAGCCGTTTGTCGATACTTTTAAATGGTTGCACGTGTGGAGACAAGCGACACCACGCCCCTGTGCTCATCAATAGGCTATTCACTAATCAATATTCATTGCGTAGACTTGGCTCAAGTGCCCTGCCAATGTTGGTGGATTATTCTCTGCTTAGTCAGGTCGTCCTGCTCAAACTGACACAGGGACTCAAGTCAAAGGGGATTGTATTTATTCAATAAAATAAAATATAAAAACTAGCCTGGGCAAATAAATATAGTATAATATTCAACGATAAAACACTTCCAGTTTGTAGTTAAGTTAAATAAATGACACCAGCCAATTTCAAGCTAAAGTAAGATCTTGATAATTTATTTTCTTCTGAAAAAGAGTTTAACCCTAATTATTAAAGAACACTAAAGTTATTCATTGAAAAATACTATACCGTTAGGAAGCATTTATACTGAGTGCCAAAAAACGCTGTTCGGTTACATTATGAGGGGAAAAGTGATTTTTTGCAGGAGCTCACATTTTCTCAGAGGAGGTTTCAATTAACGTTAAGGGTAACATAGCTAACGTTAGGTATGAATATTTTAATGTAACTGCTAGTTAACAGTTAGTAAGCAAGATTACTATTTCAGTCTGACAAGTTAAACACCAGCCTCTAGTATTTCGGTGTGACAATAAAATCTAATAATCAAGACAACCCAACATTGGTTTTAGTACACACAAATGAATACAGCTGTATAGTTATTTACACAATATGTAATGTAAATCATCAGATTTCCATATGCCTATGGAACAGCTTGCATTAAATTGTGCAGAGGTATAAACTCCAAAATTATTCACGAACTGCCTATATCTATCTATATACTGTTCAGACATAACATAATGTCTGCTCATGGACCATTACTTAAATGACCATCCAACTGATAAAATAACCTTATGAATGTACAGTAATACTCAGATCTGTTCTAGCAATAAAATGAGAACAACGTACCCTCTAACTTCACACCAGCAGGATGAGTCAGGATATATTTTATGTAATGAAGATACAGCTTCATCTAGTGGTCAGAGTAGAAAGTACAAATCTGTGGGGTGAACCTATGATCTTAATGTACAACGTATGTTAGAGGAGTCCTGTATTTTACCGTTTTACTATCAGCCTATACATGTTCAGGAAATAATACAAAGAGTGCATAAAGATGAGGTCTTATAGGTATTTTCAATTACACTTGCATAGACAGCCAGTTACAATGTAAATTATCACAGTTATGAAAAAAAATATATCCACATTTAATTCTTGAAAATATTTTGGGGGGTTTGTTACAAATTGTCAACAATGTTTGCTACAAGACAGAGTAGTAGCATGACATTAAAATGTGGAAAGCAAAAATGGATTGTTGATCATCAAAAATAGCACTAGCTACATTTAAATCCAGGACTATAGTGTGTATAACTATAACCTGGATGGCTGATAATAGGAAATGGGACAACCACATGAAGAAAAAAAGAAAGGCTTTGGTTGCACCACATTGAATAACTGGAATAACAACTCATGAGATATTTATATATTCTTATTTATATATATAAGAATATATATATTTATATATTCTTATTTATATGGGCATATTTTCTGAACTGTTACCCCTACATTAAAATGAAACTCACTTGGATGTAATATCTTAAACAATGCCAGTGCACCAAAAATAGCAATCAATGGCCTCAGTCTTGATGTTCTGATTTCCAGCACTTGATTGTGCGAAGATCAAAGATCATCACTATATAAAAAAAACGTGTAGACAACTTTACTTTGCTAGAATGCAACATATTTTGAAAAACAGCCTACTGCTTTGGTGGATTTTTTCATGTCTTTTTTCCTAAATTATACAAATGTAACACAAACAAAATTTCAAAAAAACTTCAGTTTCTATTTCTTCCTGTATCACACAGTACATCCTTTGTTCAAGCATTTCCGCACTAAAATGATTACGTAACTTTGGCGCCTCTGGGCCACCGTTTATTTTCCCTTTAAATGTAATAACATAAACAGACTCCTCAGCGCGGGAAAGAGCCATCTGCTCCTCGGCAATGTAAAATTAACCGCCCTCCACTCTGATTGGCTCCCTGGAGGCCGGACGTGCGCGCCGCTCATCTTCACCAGCCAATCATGAAGTCAGGGTGCAGGAGCGCGCGTCAGTGTTTAAATCTCATTGGACAAAAACGTCTCGACCAATCATTGCACACAGAGCGCTGTCTGTTCCTCCTATTGGCCTACGAGCTTGCTTGTTGGCTTTATGTGGCGGCTGCCATTGGTTACATCTGACATGTGATCGGATCCCTGCAGCCGATTGGTCAGTCAACTGCTCAGGCGCGATTTTGCAACGCGGGACAACGCTCCTGTAGGCGCACACAGGTCAGTTCAGAAGACTGCGACAAGAAGGAAAGTTACCGTCATCTTCACATCTGACTGCGGATACTTTGTAGCGAAGAACGGATCTGAGATTTTTTTTTCTATTCCTCTTTGGAAATGAAGGACATATTCACTCCAGATTGAAAAGGCGCACTATTTATTAATTGCTTATTGATTGTTAAAATCAATTAGAGTTAGAACTTTCACAGTTTTTGCGACTTACACCAGAAATCTGACACACATAATGGCAGATAACAAGCACCCGCACGTTATTTTCTGCAACGACTCGCCAAAAAGAGTTTTGGTGTCCGTCATCAAGACCACCCCGATTAAACCCAGGAAAGCGGAGGCCCTGACGCCGACAAGCCCCGGTTTCAGCGACTTCATGGTCTACCCGTGGAAGTGGGGAGAGAACGCCCACAATGTGACTCTGAGCCCGGGGTCAGTGAGCGGGGCTTCGTCACCTACCGGGACCCAGACGGCCAGGGAAGCGGACACGGCTCCTTCACCTGATCAGATCAGGGTAGGTCCAGGTTATTGTTATGTTCCTGAATACATCAGTGTGGTATGGAAGATGTTGGACTGCCTGAGTGGTATTTAAAGGCTATATATATTCTCCTTGCAGCCTATAGTTTCATGCTGTTGACAACGTTATAATAGACAACAACAACATAGCAACACTTTAAATATGTTTAACTACTTGTAATAACGCCAGCTTTGGGAAGAAAAGAGTACATGTGTATGATATTGATATGTTTTAAAGGCACAAACTCTCCCGAAATTACACGTTACATCAGATCAATACATTTTAGGGGTTAACTGTTAATTTCTTACAATGGGGCAACTTAAACTGTTGAACTTTTGTTTGAATTCTGCCTTAATATAGTCAAGATGGAGAGTCATTTAAAAAAACGCCCGCGCATTAGGGTGTGACACGGTGGATTTTAAACCCCGGTTACTTCCTGATTCTGGAGCAGCTGCTCATACATGACGTTTAGTCGCGCGCCAAAAATGGGACCGGATGTGAATGAATTATAATGGACAAACGTGCGTCCTGCTACAATGTAACACGTGAGCACAGCTAAGGAAATTATAATTATGATGTTGCATTGTAGGAAAAACAAAATAAACTACTGTGTGCTGATTTCTTTATAATATTAAATACAGGTGCATATATGAATGCAAAAGTAGTATAAAAGTATGAACATATTTTTGAACCAGATCTGCCTGCTCTGCACCTGTTCAACAGGAAAAGTAGTACTTAAGCTGTTACTTTAGTTTATGTAAAAATCCTCTGTTTTCTTGTCATCAGGATGGTATCCGCAGAGGGCGTCCACGGGCGGACACTGTCCGAGAGCTCATAAGCGAGGGGGAGACTTCGTCCAGCCGTATTCGCTGCAACATCTGCAACCGAGTGTTTCCCAGAGAGAAGTCTCTTCAGGCTCACAAGAGAACACACACAGGTGAGAGCGATAAGGAGGCGGGTGCAGTGAATTCTAAAAAAATAAAAACATTACAATGTCTCGGCTTATTGTTAAAAAGGCAGGTGCCTGGAGAAAAGATGGTTGTACTGTAGTTCCACAATGCCCTTTCCTTTTAGTGTTCACATTATATTGATACATATTACATACATACACATACATTGTGTAATAAGGACTGAATTGTAAAACAATGCCAATGCTGTTGCCTGAACAATTTCTCTATTTCCCCCCAAGGAGAGAGGCCCTATCTGTGTGATTACCCAAACTGTGGAAAGGCATTTGTCCAGAGCGGTCAGCTGAAGACGCACCAGCGGCTGCACACTGGGGAAAAACCCTTTGTCTGCTCGGAGAAAGGTGGGTTTGAAATGTGGATTTATGAAATGAACGGATTAAAGTGATGTTCTGCCAAACAACAACGTTTTGTGACCATAAATGTTTTAGGCACTTTAGGTACTTTCCAACGGCATGAAATATGCTTCCGTTAGTGTGACCAACTGGAGCCTGTACTGCAACTGGCTAAGTTTTATTTGAAGCATTGGAAAGTACCTGAAAAACACAAGACTTGACAGTCTAAGTTTCTGTTATAAATGAGCTGAAAATCATTACCATTACCAAATTACCAGGATATTGTGCTTAACAACAAGATTACGATTATTATTTTACTGATAGTGTTGCTTTCTCTGCAGGATGTGGCAATCGCTTCACACATGCCAACCGTCATTGTCCCAAGCATCCTTTCTCCCGTCTGAAGAGAGAGGAACCAAAGGACGGCCTGGGGAAGGCCCAGTCTGTGGACAACAAGGCTGTGGCAGAGTGGCTCGCAAAGTAAGTAGTGAATAGACAGTATGGCACATACTAGCTTCTAATTAGCAAGGGAGTTTGGCCTTGCCATTGTTTTTGCTCATGGTGGGAATTGTTGGGTCTCTGTAAATAATATTACAAAGTATACAGTCCACCAGCTCTATATGTAAAGTGCAGTGAGATAACTTCTGTCATGAATGTAAATAAAATTTAATTGTACTAGCGCTCTCAACAGGTGTACTGAGCAAAAATGACCTGTTTTGCGTGAGGACCACCTTATAAAGCATGCATAGTAGAAACTGCTTTTAATGTCAATTTCTGCTGTATGTTAATATACTCCTCTGTCCTCACAGGTACTGGCAAACCCGTGAGCAACGTGCCCCTACAACCACCAAGGTTAAGTCACAGGGCAAGGCAAGGGAAGAGGACCAGGAGCAGCAGGATCCTATGGAATTCCTCCAGTCCGATGAAGAGAAAGGGGAAGAGGAAGAGGCCGCAGAGGAGGAGAAGGGCAGCCAGGGAGGAGGAGCCGCCAAGCGCCGCCTCCAGGAGCAGCGAGAGCGTCTCCACGGGGCTCTGGCACTCATTGAGCTGGCCAACAACCTGTCTGCCTGAACACCCACCCTCCTCCCTGCCCCCTCATACCTCCATTCCCAATCCGCCTTCCTGTAGTATGTGCTGTAGCTAGAAACTGCTCATAAATGCAGATCAACGACTAGTTTAGTTATTCTATCAAGTTGTGAAGCAAAACTTTGAGAAAGAGCTTAATTGGCCTGAGACCACGCCGCACAGCATCATCCCCCCCCCACTCACACACACACACACACACACACACACACACACACACACACACACACACACACACACACACACACAGCACCAGGAAGGCACAAGCTAAAGCACCTTATTCAGCTTCCATTTTATCCTTTTAGGCTGCTATAATTGTAGATTTGACAATATGAAGAATGTCTTTCTTTCTTTCTGTCTTCTAAAGGCAAAGAAAGAGTACTTGTTGTGTTTTAAGTTGTTTTGTTTGCACTTTGATGGTAACGAGTTTTTTAAGTATGTTGTGAGTGTAACAGTGTGTGTATGACTGATTTGACTGTATATATGGATTAAGCTCAGATGGACAGAATGATACAGGGTGTGGTCAGATATAGGAAGTGTTAATTGTCAGGTGGCCTCATCATGGTCCCAGGTTTCATCTCCACCACTGTGTGCACAATTTCCCTGCCACTAATGAAAGTTGTGGTGGTAGAAATGGACTGAGAAAGGTTCAGATAGTTATCGCCCCAGCCATACAGCACACTTCAAACAGTGTGCACAGGTTGGACAAAAGCAGACAAAACAAGTCAGGGGAGCTGGATCAGTCTGACATGTAACATGGTCATTTTTAATATGCGAACGAGAGGTGATCATTGCAAGCCTAATCCAGAGGTCTGCTTAGGCACAAGACTTTTAAACTATCTAGCTTCACCACTTGTCTCATACTATACACATAATCGTACTGCATGACATTACCAGAGGCGCGCAGGAAAAGCTGACTATACTGCCTTCTGGATTTAGTTAAGTATTATAGCTAACTAATATTCTACATATTTAAAAAGGTCCAGAGTACTTAACAGCCGTTTTCCTCATAAATACAAGAAAAGTGTGTAAAACCTGCAGGCCTAAAGTTGTTTCAACCATACAGGAGATTTTTTGTATTAATTATTATAATTATTTTTTTAACAATGGATAACGTCAGTCAGCTTTTATATTAAAAGATGGCAGACCAGTTATGATAAAGGCATAGTATAGTGTGTGGTGCATCATCTCATTTGAAAGGTTAAATTATCAGTTATTTATGAAATATTTTTTTGCCTTCTGGCTCACATTTTGTTGAACTGGTTGATATCACATCACTTCACATCATTTGATGTGTGAAGAGAAATCTTCCAGCATCAACACAATTAAAATCAATTTAGAATATGTCACATACATTTAGACATAACTGATTCATTTTGATCAAGCACTTACATTCTCTATTAAGTCTTGGATTAAGCTTGCAATGCACTGAAGGTAAAATATTGTCATACATGTCCAGGAAAATGGCACCTGTTTTTTTTTTCTCTCCCATAAACAGATCTGTGTAGTGCTGGGTGTTTTTTCTTTCTTTTATTTTTTCTTTCAATAGCAACACTACATCCTTCAACACTGTATGAAATGCCCTGCCTTTAGTTGCTTTGGGGAAACCTGCACCAACAACCTGTCTCTGTCACTCTAGCTGTGATTTTTGAATCTGTTTGATCTACAAATTATCCTTGTGGATTTACAGCGAAACTGGAAGGCAAGTTAATTGTTGATAATCAAAAACACCAAATGATTTATTGTACCCAATTATAGTATATTTTGAAACAATTCTAACCCTTAGTCTATTTTGAGGTTTGAGAAGAATATGGCATTTAATATATACACATTGTATTTGTTAGAATATTAAGTGTGCACAATTTGTGGTGCACTTTGACACTGAATTTTAGTTTCCCCCTCTGCTAACACCCCCCAACAGTTTTCACTTTTGTGACATGTATAGAGTGATCCTGCTTGCTTGGTAGACATTTTATTTCAGTAAGATTTATCTGACAGGTTGTCCACACTATTATGTAACTGTTGGTTTTCAATAAACATTCACTGAACCTGACCCAGGATTTCTGTGCACTTATTGTCACTTTATTAAGTCATGATGAATAGATAGCACCAGTAATTCATTGACTTTATTTTGAATATAAAAATAAAAGCAAAAAAGCAGTTTTATGCTCCAATATGGAGTAGAACAATGCCACCAAGTGGTGAATGTTATAATGTGCATTTAGTTGTCAGGGTACTTCCCTGTTGAATCTTCTGTAATGTGAATCTTAAGCTCTTGCGCTCCTGCATTGCTTCCAGACGATTTGTTGTTAAAGGTGAGATATGAGTACACTAGTCCACCTGACATACTGCAAAGCAAAGGATAAAAGCAATGAATTGTTAGGAAAATATTAATATATAACATTTGACTTGTATTCGTTGCTATTTATCTATATGGAAATTTTTGCTTGTGCATCCTCATTTTGCTCTGGATTGTAATTTGGCTTGGAAATGGAATTTAACATAATGCTGCTCTTATAAAACAAGAAATGTATGCATATTATGTTCGGTCTACTGTTTTGACTAAACTCTGTAGTTAGTTACAGTTCATGACATTTAACAAAATATGTTGTTAAGCAAATACAAAAACAGAATAAAAATAAAACTGGAATGGAAAAAATAAATTCTTACCAAATGCTGAGACCTAAGAAGTTAGTCCAAGAGAAAAGATAGTCTCCGCCCACAAAGATCCCAATATAGGCTACTGCAACATTCTTAAGAAAATTTGAATATTCATTCAAGTTAATGATGATCTTGTTAGCAGAAATGGGAAGGATTAAAAATGTGAAAACACATTCAGTAGTTACCTCCACCAAGGAGGCTGTTTTCAGTTCTGTGTGTGTGTTTACCATCTGTTACTTAGCTGAACATCTCGAAAGTTACACAAATAACTAGTTTTTAGTGCAGATTTAGATGGTGTAGGTATGGATTCACGAAATATTCAAAGAATTCCTAAAGAGGTCATATTATGCTTTTTGGCTTTTCCCTCCCCTTTGAGTTATATATCTTTTTGTGCATGTAATAGGTTTGCAAAGTGAAAAAGCCCAAAATCCACCCCAAAGGGAGTTCCCATCTCCCACAGAAATCACTGCTCTGCACTACCTGAAAACAGAAAACTCGTTTGTAGTCCAGACGCTTCCCTTTGATCCCTGTGATGACACAGCAAAATGTGCATCATAATGCTTGCAAAGCAGCTAGTCAGACACGCCCTCAAAAACACAGGCGGAAAAACACTGAGCTGCAGCACACAGTGACAAGACATCCGCCTGCTGCTTCTCCTCTCCCTTCCAAACACTAGCTTCCCTCCAGGCAGTTAATGGACATAATTACAGTTACTCTGATGTAGAGACAGAGCTCAGTTAAAACTTTATGGATGAAAGATACATTTGTTACAGATTAATAACTCACCACTCTGAAACACTTGCTCCAGTCCATGTTGCTAAGCTGGTAAGAGGAACATATACAGCTGAACCAAAGCTGTGTTTACCGGCTTCTCACTGACAGGCCCTACTCTGCTTCTGATTGGCTAGTATTAGATTAGATTAGATTCAACTTTATTGTTATTGAGCATGTCACTGGTACAAAGCAACAATATGCAGATAGCAGCTAACCAGAAGTGCTAAGCAGTAATTATAAGTATTTAGTAATTGTAAAAATAAGTAGTCCTTAACAAGGTACTACACATGTGCAACTCCCAACAAAGATCATGTAGAGGTGAGATGTATCACTCCATAGCTAAAACGAAGCATTGAACTAACAGGGTGAAACGAGGAGCTGCAGCAATGTGCAGTTTGACAAAAAAAGATGGTGTTTTTTGAAAATTAAACCATGTAAACCTGTTCTGGTACAACCCCTAAATATGATTTTCAACCTGAAAATGAGCATAATATGACCTCTTTAACATTGCATGATTTGAATATGTTCACAGTTTTATGCTTGTTCAGCACTAGGTGCAGTGTGCAGTCACATGCAAGTTAGAATAATTTCTATTATAAAAAGGGGACCTATTATGCTTTTCAGCACACCGGGAGCTTAAAGAGACAGAAGCATCTATAGCTTGTTCAAGACAGAGGCTGAAATGAGGGCCTGCATGAAGGGTCAGTTTAAGATGGAAAATAGAACCACAATATTTGGTTGGACATTCAGTATACTAGGTCTCCATTAAAATAATACATTTTGGAGGCTTGGAGATATGCACTATCTGTGCTTTGTAGTCTAAAACTAGTCAATGTGTTCTTACCTTTATTGCTCCCACTACTGTAGTAGTAAGTGCTGAGTTATAATAGCTGCACAGGACTATGGAATACATCAGCACAAACCTGAAAAAAAAAACTCTTAAAAACTGGGAAGGCTGAAGTAGTACTGTAAGAGCTATGAAAGTATGAGTATAAGTGTAGGTGTGACAGTAATTGAGTTCTAGTGACATACCCCATGATGCAGGACATCAGGAAACAAAAGATAAATTTGACTTCAACCCAGTCCTCAAATGTGACCGCCTGTGGATCAAAACATCGAAGGTGGTCAGGCAGAAAAAACATATTTTGGGGCACAAACACCCAGAAAGAATTCACTGGATCGGAGTGACTGTAAGTACCTCGTGTAAATCTCCAGTAAACACACTTGCCAAGAGAGTGGGGATGACAATGATTAATGCATTGTAATATAATACACCATACTTCCCAAGGCCCTTAACAAAAAAAAAGAGGAATATATTAGATATAATGTGACAAAGAATAACAAAACACAGATTGTTTGTGGAGATGCTTGTGTAACAAACAGCAAGCCTAATTCTTCACATTTTATTTAAAGTAATTAGCAAAAAATTGTCAATTTTAAAATGTATGGTTGAGAGAGAAAATCCAGTTGTTGTTCTGCTATATTTTTGTATGTACGGGGTTATCCTGGTGTGATCACCTTTTCTTGACACCTTATAACTTTATCATTTCCAATTTTCTTAGGCCATTCCTGATACTATGCTATGCATAAAATATTAATGTTTACCTGGTGACAACATATAAACTGGTAGGAAATGTCCACACACATTGTGTCCCAGCCAAGGTCTTAAATGTACAATACAATTCAATCAAATGAAGCAGTTAACCACGCCTACACAGGCATTTAACTGCTCTGACACTACCAATCAAATACAGTGCAAATTGTACAGAATGCACAGTGAATGTTACCTCAGTGCCAAGTTTCGTCTTGGTGTACACGCCGCTGGCAGCAGTGAAGGCATCATTGAGCAGGATGAAAGTATAGCCCTCCACATCGAAAGCCAGGTCAGAACTAGAGGGGTGGAAAAGATAAAAGTGTTTTGTCTGCACTTGCTTCAGTTCTTAAGCAAGATATAAATATTTATTTAACCCCTCCCTACCTTGCAGCAACCATGGCACCTAGGACTATGGCCACAACACTGTAAACAAGGTGTTTAGGAAATGTTTTTCTGAAAAAGAAGCACAACATTCAAATCAAAAACTCTTTTTTTTCTCTGTTTAATTCTACTGATAAACTGAATATTAATCTGTCATAACATACAGTACTTTCAGAGCAGTTCTGTCATGATGTCAATTGTAATGTATAAAGTGCCTCAAAGCTCTAAAAGCATAATAAAAATCTGAGATTTGTCTTAGGCCTACCTCAGTATATATATTTCCAAGATCATTGTCATCAATATGGTGAATTTCCGTAATACTGTAAACATGGGTAAACTGTAAAAGACAATATGTTATTAAGCAAGACCACATGAATAATCATGTTGAAATTTGACAACAGCCAAACAGCTTAAACCTGAGTTTCTTCGTGCTTGCCAGTCCTGTTAAATGGTTCCCAACATACAGCAAAGGAAGAGGAAAAATCTGTCATGGAAATAAAGCAGTACAATTTTTTGGAAAATAGAATACAATTAAATTAAGATGAATGATGACGATGTGTTTTATTTGAAAAATGAGAAAAGCTTACTTTAAAGAAAATCCATCTGTCACAATCTTGAAACTGGACTGTTTTGCTCATTTTGGCAGCAGAAAGTACAACTAGAGTGGTGATCATCTGAAAGGACCAAATTGACCATGAAATGAATGCGTGTGTGCGTGCGCACGCGCGCATGACTGACAAACACACAGGGACAACTTACCTGGCCAATTCCCAGACACATATAGGAAGGAAACCTGCAAAGACCAACACATAAACAGTAGAATAAGTGTTGTTCCATGATGACTCAGTTTGTAATATTATAAGCGTGCTATGTGTGTGAGCTTTCTCCACTGACTCTATAAATGAAGGACTTGGAGAAGGCGCGACAAAGCGCCACATACCTGAAGCTAGTCAGCACGGTTTTATTCACCACCGTAATAAGAAACGAACTGCCGGCGTAAAACACAGCAGAGAAGAACTTGAGCTGCCCGGAGTGTTCAGCGTTTTCTTGACAGGCTTTGGCAGACATCATCAGATACTTTAAAGACACCTAGTACAGTTTACAAGTGGTTCTTGTTCTAAGGCGAAGTAATTCCTGGTTTAGTAGCAGGATCTACCGGAGAGAACCAGGCTGAGGAAAGTGGGCGGACGTCACCACTACAGTCATTCGTATACAGGAAGTCACGTGACAAACTTTCAACAGCACAATTGGAAAACTGAAGCTAGGCTCTCTGCCTTTCCCATCTTCTCTGGTTCATTTTAAATCTTTATTTTAAACAATTGAAAGTAACTTTCTTGATTTATGTAAAATACTGGTTACTGTGTAAGACATCAATTGTTAATTTGCATGTCATGAGTTACATTAGACGTTGTATTCCAATTAATAATGTTTCAGTGACCATAAACAATCATAACTTGTAATGTGTGTAAGACACAAGAACAGTTTCTGTCCATAGGCCATCACTCTGATGAACAGTTAACATCAGTGACATAGTGTCAGGCACAATCTGACACTACATATATATATATATATATATATATATATATATATATATATATATATATATTTATAGTTGACATAAACACAGTTGTTTTTAAGATGTACATCACTGTGATATATAAATGTTAGCTGCTGTAGATGCTATGTACTGACATGCTGTATACATGCGTAAATATTTTTATATACAGTCAATGGTAAATATCCACCTGTGTCATGTATATAAAGCATACTGTTACTTAATCATTTCATATTTTTTCCAGCATATTTACACTCTGCACCCTAGCACAATTGTTTTCTTGTTTACAAATTACAGAAACAATCTATTGTATTCACTGTATGTTTTTGTCCATTGTTCTATTGTTTATTTGTGTATATACTTATATATATATTATTTTCTTCCCCTTACTTGTGTATGGGGCTTGCATACTGTAATAGCTAAATGTTTATGTTTACCTTTGCCTCCAGCTTGGTTTTCCTTGTTTTATTGTAGCTGTATTTCTATTTCTGTGTAAGTACATTGCCTCTGACTATGGTACATTTTCACACGTAGCATTTGATTGACTGTTTCAAATATTCTTACAACGTAATTTCCCATGATTTTCAAGTGGCCTTTTATTGTGGCCTGCCTAAGGCACACCTTTGCGATACCCATGCTGTCTGATCAGCATCTTGATATGCCACACCTGTGAGGTGGATGGTGCTCACTAACTCAGATTTGTGAACAATATTTGAGAGATATTAGGTATTTTGTATACATAGAGAAGGTCTTAGATCTTTGAGTTGTTGAGTGTTGCATTTATTGTTGTGAGACTGGACAGAACGGACCCAGACGCAACTCTCAGAGGGAAGGAGGTTTATTGAGTGTTTACAGAGGGGGCTAGGGAAGAGGTGATCGAGGAGAGGTGGACGCCGGAGGACGTGGACACGGAGGACCGAGGAGCAGGCGAGGCGCAGGCGGTGAGGCGAGGGCGCCGTGGAGGAAGCCCGAGAGGAGAGGACTGGAGGACGAGGGTGAATGAACCTGGGAGGGAAAGCAGAGAGACAGAGTTAACGCGAGGAACAATCGGGGACTGGAAAACAGAGATCACTTAAACCAGAGCTTGAAAGGTTGGCACCAGGTTGGGAGCAACGACGATCAAGCGAAGCTGGTGTGGAGAACCGGGGTTGAAATACTTGCTGAGATTAGGTTGATTACTGGCAGGTGTGGCAGACTGGGGAGGTTGCTGACGAGGTGCAGGAGCGGAGGGAGGCAGGCAGAGCAAAACAATGGGAGGAATAAAGCGGAAAAAAAAGGAAACCAGGACACTCACCGTCAGCCGGGCTGTCCCCACAACATTTATAATGTTGTTCAGTTTATATACCCAAAGTGTTTTATCCTCTTTAATTTATCAAGCCTGCTTCCAGTTAATGGTTTAATAAAATAACATAAAATGAATCATTTTCCACATAGGCAAGTTAAATGTGTTTTATATAAAGCACACAATGTGGTAATACAATGACGAAGGCTATTTATGTGGAATGCATTTTTGCAGAATTTCAGGAGGTATTCAGAGCATTTGTTTAGTAAAAGTAGCTACAGTACCACATTGTGCAAATGCTCTGTATTACTGTGTTTGTAGTCATGGTGGTGTTAGGTGCAAATAAAAAACTGTTGGGTAGTTTAAATTCATTACATTAGTCAGTTTTATGTTTGTATGCAAAAACTTTAAAAAATAATTTAATGCATCAGTCAGGTAATTGTTTTCCGTTGATGTAAAATGTTGTACAAAGTACCTTAAAATAGTCAAATATGTGATGTGGCTTACAAGACAATGTGAAATCTCTCTTACTTGTTGCAGAGATGTTTGCCTTTGATTAAGTGTATGTCTTAGCAATGAACTATGTACAATAGGGACCTGTATATGTTTTTTTTGCATTTCGTTCTCAAGTTAATATGGTATAAATGTATCACAGTGATGAGACATGACAACCACCCCCAAAAACATCAAAACTAAGTAGCCTAAATGTACATCATATAGCATTGTGGACAAAGTGTGTTTTCCGATTTGCACGTTAAGCACACATGCCATACAAAACATTCTTGTAATCTACAACAACAACAACAACAACAGAAAGTATTACCATATAGTATACACATTTCCGTGTATTTTGGCATTAAGAGCACATTTCTGCTCAGCTTTAGACTGAAGAGCTGTCTGATAGTTATGCCAAGTTAAACACTGTCAGACTAAAAGTAGTCACGCTTCAGTAGGCAAGAAGGCAAAGCACTTTCTGTAGAACTGTGTGCTGGAGTTCGCTGCACTCACAAATCTGCTTCCTTATTTGAATGTAGTTTGCTGGAGTAAGCAGTCTGACCAGCGTTTTAAATATGCTGTCAATAGACTTTTGTTGAAACAAATATGCTGTTACCAAAACACTTTGCTGAAGAATACTGACTATTGTACATCACCCATAATCATTAATCAAGCCAATTTTCCTATGTGTGGGCTGATTATTATTAATCTGTTTTGAGGAATTTATAGAATCAAGTGCCACAACAAGGCTTGGTTTGAGTTTCTGGAAATGTTGCTTTAGTATTATTATTTTGGTTTCCTGCATATTACAACACCCTCACACACACCCATCCATCATCCTGCCCTGACAGTACTACAAGTTTAATTTGGCACAAATCTGTTTTTGTTTCTGGTTTAAATAAACAGATGTTGTTAAATGTTTGCCATGGGGTGTCTCCCTTTTGTTGCGGTGACTTGAGCCAGGTCATAACAAACGTTATCTGAAAGGGAAGATAAGATTTACCAAAGCAAGCAGGATCATGTACAATTTTGGAGCCAGTTTCCGGGGTGAAACTCTGTAAGGAGGAAGTGCCATATGCAGAATGTAATGCTACTTTTCAAAAGCATGTGGCGTTGCCTTATAATAACAAGTACATTATCAGATAAACATTTGCTATTTTTCACAGTTCCACAGTTTATGAACACACTCACTTTGGCAAACCTAAGCAATCTGCAGGGAAGGCATTTAGAATAAAAAGTTGTAAGAAATCGTTAGGGTTGAACAGTGCATTCCTTTGAACATCAGTCTCCATTTCTAATGATATCTGTATTTTCTATTTGCTGTTTTTGTATATGCACATAATAGTTCTATTTTTACTTTTACTTTATCTTTGTTCAGCTTTGTTGTCCTTGTTTTTGGCTGTACGTATATCTTCCTGTAAATTATTCTTGGATTCTTGGTGTGTAAGTGCAATGAGAGCAACTTATATCCAGAGTAAAGTACATACATACAGCTGATTCTGATCAGTCTTCCACTAGAGAGTGCTATTGCATCAGAAGAGTTTACACTGTAAGAGAAAACATCTTGAACTGATAGTAGAAGGGTAACCACAACCAAAACTTTCTCCTTCAGCTTGTGCAGGACAAAGGTGCACAACATCCACATTGGTAATTTGTACACAGAAAATTACGTTACGAGAATATTTTAAACTGAATCAAATGCTATGTGTTGTGGTGTACAATATATGTGCATTTGACGCATAACAATTTTAAATAGCACTGTAGCAGCAGGACAGAGGGTCAGTGACCTCTTAAGGGGAGAGCAGTGATTGGTGGTTATGTAGGGACTGAACCCTTCTATAGAATTTGACCTCTGACCCCTTGTTTTGTTACCTCAGAATAGTACTGTACCCTTCTATGGGTTGGAGCTTTATTTTGCAGACTCAAACCCCTCTATGGTACCTAACAGATACCTAAACATATCCTATATAAGCTATGTTTGATGTACAGAGAGACAGAGTGGCCATCAGGCTGGGTCACTCTCCAAGCTGCTGCAGAGCTTGTAATTGATGCTGAACTCCTTGATGTAATAAACTTTTATGATCAAGAACAGTGTCAAGCGGATTTCTTCTCAACACATCATCGCAGCATTATTGTTCAGACACCACAGAAATTGACACCCCAGATGGGACCGTGTTGTGCCTGAATTCATCGTTCCATCACAGGGCACCGTCGAGCTGACTCCCGCTCCAGAAGCTAGCATATATGGTGAGTTTTCTCATAAACTGTGGGTGCTGGTCAGTTCGTGTGTCTGTGTGTGCGTTAAAGGGTACCCCGGTTCGATCCCGTGTGAGTGCTTGCGGGTGGATGTGTGAGAAGACTCCGTTCTAAATTTTGTGTGCGTTGTGGACAACGCAATAAGGGGTGTGTGTGAATGTAATGAAGACAGATAAATAGATATAAAAGGAAGAAAAAGGAATAGCCTAGGAGTAACGGAAAGTGAGCTTTCATAACTTTGCAAAAATTAAGAATATGGGCCCTCAGATTCTTATGTCATGTGGGATGGAAACTACTGTCGCGTGAAACTAGGCTTTAAGGAATAGGTAAATTGGATTAAGGGAAAAAGAGAGAGTGTAACCCTGGCCAGGGTCATTCGGCTTGAAGAAAATTAATAAGGATAAGGAATAAGGTAATATAAGGATTAGGACGCCGCAGATCTGGACAAAAGCCCTTGAAGGCGATCTTAGATGGGCCGCAAATCCTGGAAAGGCACTAGATGAATTTTCGGGTCCGTTCAAAGGAACTGGGAGCTTGTAGAAGAAAAATTTAATTGTAAGTTACCTCCTGATACATGTGTTGACGAACTATGTCCGA